CTCGCCCAAAGTACCTGATACTGCGCACTTTGCCTTGTGGGAAGGTCGTTCTGGGCCACTACATCCTGCTCTGTCTGAGGTGCTCTTCCATTCTCTGCTCTGCTCCGCTCCACACACCTACCTCTCTCTGCCCCCATCCTCCATCCTCCCATCCTCCCGCAACAGTTATACGCCGCTTCGTTCGTTTCGTGTCTTGCTCTGCTTGTTCTGCTTCTTGTTCTCTTCTTCTTTTTCCATGTCGCTCACTCCCACGTTTGTCTCTTCCTTTCTCTCGCTCCTCTCTCTCATACCTAAAGGTAGCTTCCTTTCGGCCACACCCCTCCACCCCTCCCTCTTCGTCCTGTTCTTGTCCGTTGTTGGACAGGACGTGACACAAATCAAATTCAAACCCAGTCCCAATCGAGAATACCCTATCCTTCGCCGTCCTCCGCATCTACCGGCGTCTATGTGAGAGGGTGAGAGAGAGCTGTATCTGTACGTGAATGGGCACTTACATAGGCTTGCGTGCGCCCACCCCCAACTTGTCCTCTTCTCACACACTTGGCTTCTCGCTCGCCTACTCGTCCACCCAACCACCACCACCACTATCTCAATCCTTCTTACTGGGATTAGTCGTCCACAACCCGCAACCTTCATCACACACAACCAGGACAAGGACCAGGACCAGGACCAGGACCAGGGACCAGACTAAAAATCAACTCTCCTGCATGTCCCACCTGCTCCTCTCACATATCTCCGTTCACCACTGGTTGCCCGGCTCGCACCCGTAGGCTGTAGCTTCCCACGTCCCTTTTTACGTCCGTAACTCCCCCCGGAACACCCAGGTAACCCTCGACCGTTCCCAGTTTCTATCCTCTTTGGACCGCACCCTCGACTCTCTTCAACGAATGACCGTCTTGTTTGCTTCGATTTTCATCCCGACAGCCTCTCATAACACCCTCCTTTCCCAAACGCTCGGCCATTGAGAAGAATCCGAGATCTGATCAGACGGCTGCCCGAACCGCCAACCAACCATCAAATGGACTCTGGGCACTATTCCGCTGCACGTCATGCTGCTGCCGCTGCCGCTGCCGCCGCCGCCGGTGGTGGTGCCGTCTATTCTGCTCAGCCCATGGGCCACGCGCACGCGCACGCTCACGCACAAGCACACGCCTACCATCATGGTCACTCTCACTTACAAACACCCGCGCAATCACCCCATGGCCAGCCACAGTATTACTCGATCAATCCCGTGAGCCCAACCGCACAAGGGCCTTCCATGACGAGCCCCCGCGTCCTACCAAACTCTGATCTCATGCCCGGCGCTCACTCACCGGGCTCAGCAACATCTTCCGCGCCGCACGGCATGGCCGGTCTGCCACCCAACCGCCCTTCGTCCCCGGCCGCCTCTGTGTCGGGAGCGCCTAGTCCCGCCTCCAAGCCTATCCGGAGGCGCATGCGCATGATCACGTCCTGCCTCGAGTGCCGTCGCAGGAAGCTCAAGTGCAACAAGTCTCAGCCATGTGTCAACTGCATGAAGTTTTCGCGCGACTGCGTCTACCTTAGCCCCAAGCTCGATGAGGCCAGTCAGCTCCGTCTGACAGAGATCAAGGAGAAGGTCGGATCCCTGGAGCGCCAGTTGGAACGCGATGTCGCTAAGACGTCTCGAGCCGCCCAGCAGCAAGCCATCCTCGCCGACGATGTCGAGGACGACTTTGCCGAGGAGCGCGATCTAGAGCCCACAGATATGACGGCTCTCGATGTCACGTACGAAGAAGATGCAGACGGAGCCGACGATCTCATTGATCTGGGAGTTCAGGTTGGTCGCATGCGTATCACTGAGCGCATCGGTGGCCTGTCCAGACCTAGAATAGCCGAAGAGGTGTGTCCAATTCTATTTTTTACTTTTCACCAGATCTTGATCACCTGTCTCGAGCTAGCGATTTTCTAACGCAATAGTCAGATCTCGGCCGGTATATCTGGCCCGGGCGGTCCTCCGGGGGGTCCACCTCCGGGTGGTCCGATGGGTGGTCCGATGGGTGGTATGGGAGGAATGATGGCCATGATGGGCGGTAGGGGCATGGGCGGGGCCGGACGAGGCGGGCCGCCCCGTGGTGGACCGCCTCCTGGGTATCCCGGCTTTGGTGGTCCACCACCCGGCATGGATGCCATGTCTGTCGTGAGCGGAAGCTCTGGTGACTCAATCCCCGACTTTTTGAGGCCTGGCGAATCTTACATCCCCCCCTCCAGTGGCTTCTTCTTTGGCCACACCCCTGAGGCTCTCTCTCTTGATAGGAGATTACCTCAAAAGGAGGCTGCTGATCGACTCACGCAACAATATTTTGCAGCGGTTCACCCCATTGCACGATGTGTTCACAGACCGTCCTTTGAGGCTGAGTATGTGAACTTCTGGGAGGAAGTCTACAGCAACATTGAACCCAGGGCCTCTACACAGGCCGTCATGTTCGCGGCTTGGTTCAGTGCCGCCGTGAGTATGGACGATCCGACAGTAAGGACGTTGTTTGGCGTCACCAAAGCCAACTTGATCGACCGAATGAAGACCGAGACAGAGAGAGCTCTTGGAAAGGCCAATTTCCTCCGTACAACTAGAGTGGAAACTATGCAGGCTTTCATCATGTATATGGTACGTTCTGCATGTCTGTGTGTCAGCATGATCGTTACTGACATCAACCACAGCTCCCGCTCTGCAGAGCCGAGGTATCTCGAGCTCATTCTGTACTGGTTGGTGCAGCTGTAAGGATGGCGGAGTGTATGGGCTTGCACAGAGACGGAGAGACATACGGACTGAATCCTCTGGACACCCACGTTCGTAGACTCATCTGGCATCAACTCTGCTTCCTCGATATTCGCACCTGCGAAGCGCAAGGCCCCAGGCCGGCTATCAGGAGGGAAGATTACGACACCAAGCTCCCGCTCAATTGTGAAGAAGAAGACTTCTACGCCGCCGGACCACCCCCTGAGCCCGCAGACGTGTGGACCTCTTCTTTACTATCAGCGATTCGGACCGAGTGCAACGAGATGATGCGCGTAATCTGGCTGGACCGTCGCAGGCTCGAAACTCGCAAAACGACACTCACTGCTGTTCTCCAAAAGATTGAAAACTTCAGGCGGCGAATGGTGGAAAAGTACGAACATTTACTCGATGGCGAGATCCCTATTCAACGCTACGCCAAGTTGGTCATGAATCTGCTCCTCTACCGCCTCCACGTCATGATCCTCCATCCCTACCACGCCAACGCCAATAGTCCCATGACCCACCGCCTCAATAACCTACTCGTCACTTCTGGCATCATGATCATTGAGATCTCGATACAGCTTGAGAACGACCCACAGTTCCGAGACTGGGCCTGGTATCTAGGCGCCTACCAACAATTCCAGATTGCTCTGCTCTTGGCCACCGAGATCTACTACCGACCGCAGAACAGGGAGGCCGACCGTATCTGGGCTTGCTTGGATTACGTCTTCGGCACAGACCGGACTCTACCGCCTGAGATGAAGGGCTTGCAGATTTTGGGTGAGATCATGAGCAAAATGGCAACATACCAGAGCATGCGCAAGATGCGTGCGCCAACAGGAACCTCTCGAGCACCGCTGAATAAGACGGCCGTTAACGTGAGAAACGAAAACCAGGGGGGACAAAATGCCCAGCCGCCACATCCCGGACAGGGCATGCCAATGGGCTTCAAAGCAGAGCCTGGCATGGGCGGTCCCGGTATGCAACAATCTTCACCGATGAGCGGCATGGGGTCTCCAGGGATGCAGTCTCCGCCCAACGCGCAGATGCAAGGTCCGCCTCCAGGCATCGTCTTTGCGGGTGTATCAAACGGCGAGGCCATCTGGAGCATGCCGCCCGTAAACGCGGACAGTCCGGAAAGTGTCAGCGACGGGGCCAGTATGGGCGGTCACAGGCCCTCGCAACCGATGAATATGATGAACCCTCTCGAGGGTGTAGACTGGGTAAGTCCATCTCGTGCCGTAACACAAGTGATTCGCGATTTGCTGACTTCTTTCTCTCTCTTTAGGAGATCATCAACGGCTTGTTCCCTCAGGATCCTAACACGGGCGAACTGAACATTGCCGGCTTCAACGACCCGACGCTCGGGTTGGTGAACGGGTTCCACTGGGCTCAACGATGAGCGTGGATAGAAGAGGGCATATTTCTTACTGTTTATGCTTGCTTTCCTGCTTTGATGTATTCGACATTTGCGCGACCATGTTCAATGCATTGGATGACTACTGCTTCCTGGCTGCCAAAGCTCAAAAGATCCCACGATACCACGGTTACATTGTTTTAATGCCTGTTTGGTTTGATTCATGCGGAACGCGGAGTTTGATGGAGGCACAGTTATTTAACAAAGGAAGAAAAGTTTCACGAATAGGAAGAAATCTCTTGGTCGTCAGTGTTAATAGAGGAGGACTAGCAATGGGGGGGATGTGCTAATGGTTCATCACGAACGACTGGATTGCTTGGAAGGGGGCTCAATAGGGAGATGATGTAGGTGATGTGCCTGCACGAGGTAGAGCTTAATAGAAGTGATGTCTTGCACAAACCACAACGGTATCTTTTGTCATGATTGTGTGAAATCGAATAATATGAAATATGAAATAATAGTAACCCAAGAGGTATCGTCGTGCACTCTGCAAAAATGAAAATCAACACAAGCCATTCTTTTTAGCCTTGCCTTCCCTTCCCTACCCGTCCGTCCGTCCGTCCAATTCTGTCCCCTCTCCCGATGTGCCAGAACAGTGGGAATATTTCGTAAACTTCGTAATCTTGGGTTTGTTCTTGTTTGTTTGGTATCCCCGTTTCCCTTAAGTCAATGTACTTAATCGTCCCATATAATGTACTGTCCCACAACCTGTTTCTCCAGGACCTCCATCCGTTCCATTACATCTATATCACACCCATCTTTTCCCTTCGTATATTACTTTCTCTCTCTTTCTCTCTCTCTCTCACACACACACATGGTACTCATCGCCTCTGATCAAGACAAGCTCCTTTACCGCAAGTTGGAGGCTTGCTCGGGTAAGAATGTACCCATGCTGAGATCGCTGCGCGTGGCCGCCGTCTGCCCGCCGAGCGACGCACCGCCAGCGTCGCTGCCGGGCGTAAACAGCCTAACGGACTTGCCCTTGGGCCGAGCCACCAGCACCTGGGCAGGACACACAACAATCTCGTCGTCATTGTTGCCGCCGTCGTCGCTCTTCTTGACGACGAGCGGGAACAAGACGATACGCACAACGGCGCTCTGGGCCTCGAGGGCCTCGTTGGAAGCGGACTTGTCGGCGCTGCGCTCATTCATAAGCGCTGCGTTGAACGTGACAGTCTCGGCGAGCTCGCCGTCGGCATCGTACTCTGGTTGCAGCGGCGGGAGCATCATGTACTCGGCGCGCTGAGTGCGCATCTCGATGGAGAGGTCGACGGCCTCCCGCATCACGCGGCGCAGCTGTGATTGGATCTGGTCCTCCAGGTTGGAAGGGGGAGGGAGGACCCTGGACAGCGTTTGAAAGATGGCTTGGACCACGGCCTCAGTGTCGAGGTCGCGCTGGTGCTTGAAGCTGGGGCGCTTGGAGAGCAGCGTTAGGGTGACGGCGCGCCATTGTCGGACGGCCGGGGGAGGGCCGACCTCTGTAAGCAGCTTTTCCAGCGATTTGAGCTTTTGTCGCTGCTCGCGATCCATGCCAAAGAGGTAGCGAGTGAACACAAACTCCCAAATCATGTTCATCGTCATGGACATGAACACATCTCGGCGCCTGACACGGTCGCCGAGATAAGTGTCCACGTCGGTACCATCGAGGATGGCGTTGTCGAGACGGTCAATGACCTTTTCGTCATTGATCTCGTTTGTCTTGCGGCAGGCGCGCATGTCAGAGAACTTGGAGAAGCGCAGAACCCACTGCTGTACGTGAGAGCAGAGCTGCTGACATCTGTGGTCAAAGTGGTCGACGTCCTTGACATTGAGGAAGTCGCTGTCAGCGCCCTTTGATGCCAGGATCTGGCGCTGCATCTGCCGGATCTTGTCCTTGGCCGCATCGAGCTCAGAGCGAAGGCGGCCAATCTCGGCATCCTTTTGAAGAAGTGACTCCTGGAAGTGGTTATGCTCGGTGCGCGCTTGCTCCAATTGCCGGGAGGCGTCAGAGTGCTGGGTCTCCAATGATCGGTAACGCTCATTGTGTTGGGCAGCAAGTTGGGTATTGGCGCTGTTCAAGCCCTCGTTGACCTCTGTCAATCGGGCAACCTCCTTTTGTAGAAATTCTAGTGACTGCTTGAGAACGTCGATTTCGGCGTCGCGCTCTGCAAGAATGCCAGAGGCTCTGTTGCTGTTGTGGGTATCGGTTTGGGATCGGGCGTCTGTGAGCATGCGGTTCTCCGCCATCAATTGTTCGACGCGAGACTCGAGCTCGAGGACTTGCATGCTCTGGCGACGCCGCATGCTGTGTGGACGGGTAGGCGATCGGGGAGAGCCGATGCGGCCTTCACCGAATCCATCCTACGATTGAAGGTCAGTCAAAGTTCGTTGTGTCGGTGGCTAGCGATGCTATCACAAGCGCTTGCAGCAAAGACAAACACCGCCTGGGAATCGCAGGCGGTGAGGCAATAAAGCAGATAGAGAGAAATATTGAATAAAAAATGTGCGTTACTTACAAAGACGTCGGCCATGTCCTTGGTACGGACACGACCTTCGTTGGCGACGGGGGTGTTGGAGGAGCTGGTCGGGTCCTTGGGGTCCTTGTTGAGGTCAAGCTGACTTCGTTGGCTGATGGATCGCAAGTCTCCGCTTACACGCCTGTCGACCCGGCGAAGAGGCGGGGTGGCGGTGCCTGACCGTTGGATGCCTGGGCTCTCAGGCCGGAACTTGAGTGGTTCTGGCGTTAGCGCCCCAGTGGCCCGCCGGTGCCGTGACAGGCTACTGTTGGACATGGATCTGCGCGCTATAGGCTCTGTAGGTGCTGGAGACTGCAGCCGTGCGACCCTATCAGAGACGCTGCGGTTGCCTGGTGGCGGAGTGCTGCGTGGTGACGAGACTGTGCTGCTGATTGCTGCACCAGCCAAGGCAGCCGACGCTAGGTCCTGATACTTGTTTCTTCGTCTTTCAAGCTCTGGGCTGATGCCCCGTTTGTGCTTCTGCGGCTCTGGAGTCAACTCCCTTCCTGCAGGTTCTCGCAGTACGGGTGTTCTGGAAAGTGGGTGATCGCGAGCCTCTCCTTCGATCAGTGATGTCTTCTCCGGCGACTTTGCTCTCTCCAGCTCTCTGGATCGTCGTCTTTCACTTCTGTGAACTCTCAATTCGGGAGTTCGTTGTCCATCGCGGCCTGGTGATCTTTGCTCCTGCCAATCGCGAAGATGAACTCCGCTGTCTCGTTGCTCCTCATTGTCGAAACCTCCCCTTCTGAGAGGATGAGGTGAGCTGGGTACAAACCCGCTGTCTCGGGTTGGGTCAGGTGAGCCCGTGGTTGTGCGAGAAGCAGGTCTGTACAACAATCGAGGTTCGATATCGCTTCCATCGTGACCCTCCTCCTGAACAGGCGGCAAGATGCTCGGCACCGGACTCCGGAAACCACTCATCTCAAAGGTCCGCTCAGGGCTGTTTGGTGAACGTCTAACAAATAGATCGCGACGGGCCTCAGCCTCGAATCCACGATCGACTGCTTCATCCATATCGCTAACCATAGTGTTTGTCATGGGTGACCTAGTCCCCCGGCTTACTGAGCGTTGTTGAGTCGTGATGTTGGCAGGCTCGCTCGGTTGGTCCGTTCCAATTTCTCTGCCAAGAATCGGGCTCTCAATGTTGTCGTCTTGAGCCTTTTCCTTGAGCGGTGCTGTGAGACTCAGAACATCCTTAGCCTTTTCCTCCTCCTGTGACCCTCCTTTTGATACATCCTCTACCAATCCTCGAGCTACTGGAGACGCGCTGGGCTCTTGTCCGTGAACAATAGTATCCTGTGCTTGAATGGGGACGCCCTCCTGTTGCTGTAGCGAGGGACCAAAGACGTCGTCCACCATCATGCTCGTTCTGGTTGATTGCTCAGGCAGCTGGTTATCGGTCGTTTCCTCACCGCCGCCCCAAAAGTCTTCCACCTCTTTGCTTGCGATCTCGCTGACATGTTTCCTATCGGCACCTTCCCAGAGAGAAGGATCATCAAACATGTCTTCCTCTTGTGCTGCGCGCTTGTCCTCGTACTTGGACTTCTTTCCCTTCTTCTTCTTACCGCTGCTCGATTTGCTAGCGAGGGCTGCTGCACCGGCGGCCAGTGCTGCTGCCCCGACTGCGGCGCCAATGCCTGATGACTCGGGTGCCTTCTTCTCTGGAGTGATTGGCTGAATAGATTCTTCCGGCTTATGGTCATACTTGTGCTCCATGTACGAAGCAGCGATGTCGAGGGATGCAGCTGGCTCTGGTTCCCGAAGAGGCTCGTCTTTGCCCGCGCTTGGCCCAGGAATCTCTTTTTCACGAGGTAGATCAGCTTCCGGGGTAGGGAGTTCATCCCCAATTTTGCTGATCTCCGCAGCTGGTGTCTCGCGATCATCAAAGTACGCAGCAGCAACATCTCTAGAGCTGACAATCGGCTCGGGGAGGAGAGTGTCGGACAACTCTCTCGTCTTCATCTTCTTGCGCTTGTTTGGCTGATCGAAAGGCAGTTCATGAACGACGTTGCTCGTCTCCTGTGCAGGAGTAAGATCGATGTCTACTGACTTGTTCGACGTAGGAGACGAGGCATTGACACCAGTAGGCTCTGGGACTACGCCTGCAGGTGATTCGAGGGCTGATGCAGTTTCTGGAGGCGGTGGCGCTGAAGGGCTTCGAGTGATTTCGCGAGGTGCACTGTCGAAATACTCAACCGTGTCTTTCGTATCTTCAGTTCGGCTCGGTCCAGGCACAATCATTTCTTGTTCCGGCAGTAAGTTGGCGCTGATGGGAGAGCGGTCCAGTGAAATTGACTGTTTCTTGCCCTTCTTATTCTTCTTCGACCTTTTAGTGATGGGGATGTCCCATTCATCGTCGTCAGCAAAGACAGGTTGAGTTGTTGATTCCGGTTCGAGCATCGCCGTTGTCTGATGACCTGGGTCTGTTAAGGAAATAGAGCTCTTTGCAACATCAGTCCCAGTAGCGGTGTCCGGGAGGCTCTTTGACATCTCCGGTGCGGTGAAGTCGCCTTCAGGTAAGACTGGCGCGCTAGTCTGCTCCTCCACGATTGTTTCTGGCTCATCCGCGAAGGAAAGTCTCTTGGCCTTCTTCTTGTCCTTCTTAGACTTTTTGGAGTCGAACTCTTCCGCAATGGGTTCTTGCGGCACATCGTCAAAGACTACGGGTTCCTGCACGATCTCCCGAGGGACAACCTCAGGCCCTGGCTCGGCGAAGGCAGCTTGCTCAGAAGCTTTGGTGGTCTCGAGGATGGGAGTGGCCGGCTCCTCGAACTGCACCTGGCTGGTGCGCTTTTTCTTGTCTTTCTTAGACTTCTTGACGACGAAGGTCTCTTCAGCTTCCTCAGTGAGCGCACTTTCACGGACATCCGGTGCGCTCGTTGCCTCCACAGGGCGCGTGTCGTCCTGTTCAGTCACGTCCATTGAAGCGCCAGGCAAGACTCCATCCACCCGGTCAGCAGAGACCGTCTCGTCACCGACAACCTGTTGCGTCGTAGGTTCAGCAGCCAGCGCGCCGTCGGGGATTGCTTGGGCTTGAGTGAAATCTTCGTGGCGTTCAGGTACCATGACGTCCACCATTTGGGGGCCAGCTGAGGCGTCGAGATTAGGGAGAGATTGAGGCACTGAAGTGGAATCTAGGGATTTGTCTGTTGCGAGGATATCCCTTGTGAAGGATGGCTCGTTGCTCGAAGTATGGTCCTCATGTCTCGAGATATCTTCCACTAGAAGAGGCTGTTGATTTAAAGCTCGCTCGGTTTCTTGCTGCTCCGTCGACTCAAGCTTGGGTGTTGCCGTGCCAGAAGCCAGGGGCGACTCGGGTTCGACATCGTCGAATGCCAGGCTCTGTCGCTTCTTCTTTTTCTTGTCCTTCTTGCTCTTCTTCGCAGGCATGAGATCGTCAAGATCAGCAGGGGCTGCGGCCTCTGGCTCAGCCACAACGTTGGAACTTTCGACCGAACGGGCTTGATCAGAAGCACTCTCGAGGAGACTCTCGGCTGCGATGGGAGCGATGGATTCTTGCTCAGTCGAAGGGGCAGCATCAGACTGGCTGTCCAGTCCTTTTGGCTTGGGCTCAAGGTCCGGAGTGGTCGTTGGCACATCTGACTCTGCAACTTGTCTTGGCTGGGCATCTTGGGAGTGAACACCTGCGGGCTCAGTCTCCGGAATCACCGAAGCCGATTCCTCAGTAGATAGGGCCGTTTCCTCCATAGGCTCGACGGCCGAGCTCTCTAAGATGGGCTCTGCAGTGCTTGGATCTTCGACGGAATCGGTGGCAATGGTTTCCAAGGTAACCGCTTGCTCCTCAGCACTTGGAGCGGGAGTTTCAGGCTCGGTCAAGATAGACTTCCTCTTCTTCTTGTCTTTCTTAGACTTCTTGACTGTGAACTCTGACGGCTCTTCGGCAGCCGCTGTCTCTTCGGCAGTCTTCTCGGGCTCAAGCTCGATATTTCTTGAAGAAGCTGATGGCTTAGGCTGGTTCTCGGCTAAGAGTGCAGGAGAAGGTTGTTGTAGGTCTGACACCAGCTGTTCTTGTGAAACATCCTGCGATGAAGAAAGCTGTGCTACCTCTTGAGCTGATGCTTGTGCAGAGTCAACCTCGAGTGGCGCTTCCACTAGGGCATCAGCAAGTGGGATCTCCGAAGCCGTCTTGTTATCAGAGGCCAGGAACCTATCGGTAGTTGTAGCATCGTCAATATGTGCTACTTCCTCTTTATTGTCTTCGACGGTTGTCTCCATTGGTGTCTCGTTTCCATATGCAAGAACAAAATCTTCCTCAGCCATGGACTTCTTTTTCTTCTTGTCCTTCTTAGATTTCTTGACGGGCGCGTTCTCGGGCCATTCTTCCTCAAGTGGTGCGTCGATTGGAAGCTGGGATTCCTTAGCTATGGAATCTTGATCGACGGCGGTCTCCGGTTCAGCCGAAGGCGCTGACGCGAGGGTTTCCGCTACGGAATGGTCCTCCACCTCTTGAATTGGGGTGGAGATTGGCTCAGCCTTGGGGAAGTTGGCATGCGTAGGAGTCTTGACTGACTCGACAGAGACATCGGGCAGCTGCATTTGCTGATTCTCAGCTTCAAGTGCCTCAGCTGGAGTGGCAGCTCCCGATGTGATCTCCATGTCGTCCTGAATCTTGCCTTTCCTCTTCTTCTTGTCCTTCTTTGACTTCTTCTGGGAGGCTGGGAATTCGTCATCGATGTTTGGAATCTCGGCGGAAGCCTCAACAGGGGTCTCGACGGGGGCTACAGCGGAAACCTCAGCGGAAGAGTCTCCAACTGGAGCCGGAGTAGCATCTGTATCATTGGTCGGCAACTCTGCGTTGGCTAAGTGCACCTCCTCAGCCTCACTGGCAACAGAAGGGAGCTCGCTCTCCACCTTTGCCGTCTCTCTGACATCTGCAGTGACGGCCTCTGCTTGTGGTTCCGAGATGTCTACCGAAGTTTCTCTGGTCGATTCGGTTGAGTCAGGTGCAGGAACATCGGTGGTAGCGGCGGCCGGTGCTTCTTCTCGAACATCGGGAGCAGATACATCAAGGGGGTCTGAAGGCTCAAAGACGGTGGGTGTTGTCGTTCCAGAGGGAGGACTCGAGTCGTCCTGAAGCTTGCCCTTCTTCTTCTTCTTCTTATCCTTCTTAGACAGCTTCGGAGAGAAGTCCTCCTCCATGGATTTAGAAGACTCCTGGGCGGCCGCAGCAACATCGGCATCTAGGTGAGGCTCGCCTGTTGCCACCGCTTCGATGACCTCTTTGTCAGGCTCCTCCATAGGTGCTTTAGGGCTCTCGAGATGCATCGACTGGTCGGCAGACTGGTCGATTGTGATACTTGGCATTGATGAAGAAGGCTCCTCTACTGCGGCAACTGTGCCCTCGGCGGCTGGAGTAGGATCGCCCAGCGGAAGCTCTGGCACGGTCTCGGCAAAAGTCTCGATAGAAGGCTCTGCGGCAGGTTCGCTTGCTTGGGCGGTAACCTCAGTCGAAGGACCGGACTCGAGGATTTCCAAGGCTTTGCCCTTCTTCTTCTTGTCTTTCTTCGCCTTCTTCTCGACCATCGGGAACTCGTCATTGGCATTGGTCTCCGGAATAGCGGGAGCATCGAACTGGCTCTCGGCGTTTTCTGACGCCTCCTTCACCTCAAGAAGCTCAGGGCTAACATCCCTGGGAGCTTCCTCGGGTGTCGCGGCAGTCTCTACTTCTGATGCGGGTGGCTGCTCGGGTGAGATGTCTGTCTTGTCCTCTGTAGCCTTGTCGTGGTGGACATCCTTAACTTCAGATGCGATGAATCCGGCGGTGGCGGCTGCAGCTGTAGCAGCTGCTGCCATTTCGGCCATCTTCTTCTTCTTCTGTTTCTTGTTCATGCCCTTAAAAGGGTCCTCCTCGACGACGGCTGGTTCCGGCTCAGATTTGTCGATGGGCCTTTCTCCGGCAGGAGTCTCCTCAATGATTTTGTGCTCAACCGCCACCTCCTCGGGCTTTTCTTCAGGGACTTGTGAAGTTTCAGTAGTGGCAGGCTCGGAAACCGTAGTGGCTCCAGCCAACTCTGCTGCAGCGGCCATTTCGGCCATCTTTTTCTTTTTCTGCTTCTTGTTCATGCCCTTGAAGGGGTCCTCCTTGTCCTGAACGTCGTCCCGGGGCGGCTCTTGAACAGGCGCATCTTCGACAGCCTTCTCATCGGTGGGTCTGTCGGCAAGAGTCGACTCCTCGGCAGGTAGGGCTGCAGCAGGCGTCTCTTCAACAGCTACATCCGCAGGCATCTCATCGGCAACCTTGTCCTCACCAACTGTCTGCTCAATCGCCTTGTCTTCGGCCTCAGCAGCGGCCATTGCAGCCAGTTTCTTCTTCTTTTCCTTTTTGCTCAGGCCAGCGAAAGGATCCTCTTCGACTTGAGGCTGCTCGAGCTCCGGTTCAGGCACGGACTTCGACTCAGCTGCAGTCTCCTTGGCAGCAGACTCCTCAATAACAGGCTCTTCGTCGACGAGCTTGGCTGGAGCAGGGGTCTCCTCCTCGGTCGTAGCAGGCTCAGAAGATACTTTCTGGGCCTCCGAGACAGCCTCACTAGCGGCAGCAGCCTCGGCAGCCTTGGTGGCGGCAGCCATCTCAGCCATCTTCTTCTTCTTTTGCTTTTTGTTCATGCCCTTGAAAGGGTCTTCCTCTTCTTTAACTGGCTCTGATACTGCCTCTGACACTTCTGGTTCCGCCGCGCGTTCCGGTTCGACGGCGGACTGCTCCTCGACCGGTGGATCGATCGTAGTCTTGTCAGAAGTCATCTCTTCGACAGGCGTCTTGTCTTCGGTGGTAGTTTCCGGCTTAGACATGTCGTCTGTGGAATGTGTCTCGATGGGGATTTCATGGGCAGACTTCTCATCGGCAGGTTGCTTCCCAGTGAGCTCCTCCTCGATGGAGGTTTTCTCAGCGACCAAGTCCTCTGTGGGGTGCGCCTCGACAGGCTTCTCAACGGCAGCGTCGTCTTCCGTGGGTTTCTCGACCTCGACGGCCTCAGCAGCTTCAGCGGCCGCCTTCATCTCGGCCATCTTCTTCTTCTTTTGCTTCTTATCCATACCCTTGAATGGATCCTCTTCAGACTTCGTCGACTCCGGTGTAACCTGTGGCGCACTCTTGACTTCATCTGCGGTTTGCGGCTCTGGCGCAGAAGGTTCCTCGGTAGCGGTTTCCTCAGTAGGCTGCGCCTCTGGCGAGGTCTCAAGAGTAGCAGGCGTGGAGTCGACGGTTTGGTCCTCGGCGGCAGGCGTGGGTTCCTGAGCAGCGGCTTCAGTAGCAACGGCCAGTGCGGTAGCGGCAGCGGCCATCTCTGCCTTCTTCTTTTTCTTCTGTTTGTTACTCATGCCTTTGAAGGGATCATCCTCGACCTTGGGCTGCTCCGATTCTAGGGACGCCGTCTCTTCAATACCCTTTTCTTGCTCAGGCTCCGCTTTGGCAGAGACCTCCGTCTGCTGCTCGGGAAGCTCAGTTATGGGCTCTTCCGCGGTGTCCCTCAGCTGGGCGAAAACCTCGTCACCAGGAACGACGGCTTCTTCGCGAGCTTCCTCTACCTGCGATGTGGGTATCGATTCAGGCGTGGTTTCTGCCTCTGGAGCAGGAGAGTCCTCCAGAATATCTTGCGCGATGTCCTTCTTGCTCTTCTTCTTGTCCTTCTTCGATTTCTTCGAGGTGGTAAGCTCTTCCTCCACAGTAGTCGGCGTTTGGTTCTCAGAAATGGGATCCTCGGATACGATAGCTGATGACTCGGTGTTTACCGCTGTCTCTGGTGGAATGGCCTCCTCATCCACGGCTTGAGAACTTGGCTGCTCTGTGGCTGGTGTCATAGCAGATGCTGTTGACATCTCGGAAGACTGCGGTGCATCTGACAGGTCAATCTCCTTCGCCACAAGCTGCGATTCTGGTGTGGCTGGCGGCTCATCAGGGATGTCTGAAGCGAGACCCTTTTTCTTCTTCTTGTCCTTCTTGGACTTCTTGGTGACAGCCGGGAATTCTTCCTCTGCAAGTGGAATAGTGTTATCTGCAGGTGTCTCGAGTGTTGCCGGAGAAGGATCGGTTTGGCTGGAAGGCTCCGATGGCAGTTCCTGCTTGACTTCTGATTCTTCAGTCGTAGGAGCAGAGGAGGCTCCTGCCTCCAGGTCAGTGGGCCGCGAAGTGGCTGGTGAGTCCTGAGCCGGTGGTGCTTTCTCAGACTTCAAGGTAAGGTCATCCTGAGCATCGGCCTGTGAGGGGCTGTCGGGTGCTGGCTCAGATGAAGCATGCACATCTTCAGATGGCATTTGTGTTGCGTCGCCAAGCGAGAGGGCGTCACCAGGTGAAGCAGAGGAAGATTCCTCCAACGGAGTCTCCGGCTGAGCAAGTTCCTGGCTGTCGTCTAATGAAAGGCTTTGCTGCTTCTTCTTCTTCTTTTTCTTGTCCTTTTTGCTCTTGTTCACTGGCTCAAAGTCATTGATGTCAGCCTCTGCTAATTCAGCTGGCAGCTCATCCTTTGTCGTTGGCTGTAGGGAACTTTGAACTTCATCTGATATGCTTTCCGCTGGGGCTTGAGCCTCTTCACTTTGCTTGGGCTCTGCATTCTCCGGGGTGTCCGCAGACTCCTCTGTTGACTTGTGGTGGCCAGCATCAACGCCCTTATAGGTTTCGTCTGCTGAAGCTTGTAAAGGCACTTCTGGCTCAGCGGGAACCTCGCACTTTTCAGACGCAGGCGTAGGCTCGGTGCTCAGCTCTTCCACTGCAGCAGATGCCTGAGCTGCAGCCTTCTTCTTCTTGTCTTTTTTACTCTTCTTGCCAGCTGGTTGAATTGCCCATTCATCCTCGCCAGCCTCGATTGCTTCTCTTACGGTGGCCGCCTCCGGGGCGTCCGTGACATCGGGCGAGGGATCCGGACCCGCCTGCTCCGGTGCTTGGACTGGTTCGTCAACGGCCTTGACAGCCGGGGCTCCATCGTCCACGATCTGTGACTTGAGAGTTTGGACATCATCCTGAGGAATTGGTTCGGACGTTGCAGCCTTGGTCTTCTTCTTGCTGCTTTTCTTTTCCTTCTTGGACATCTTGCTCGAGCTTGAGGGCTCAGAACCAACGTCGTCTCCCTGACCGACTTGTGTCTCGGTCTGTTCAGGGTCGTGAGTGGTATTCGGGTCCCCTGTTGGTTCAAGGCCGGGAAGAGTCTCCGAAAGCGGCTCTAGTTGCGGCTCCGGCAAGATCGGTTGACCCAAAGATTCCGAGAGATCTGATTGACCCGGGAATCCAACATTGGCGGCGAGAGAATCAAATTCCTCTCTCTGGTCCTTTTTTTCTTCTTCCTTCTTTTCGACGTCTGAAATTTTGTCTAGTTGTTGAACGTCTTCCGGAAGGGTCTCGGTCTCGGCAGTAAAGTCAGTAATCCCCGCGTCAGATTTTTTGCCAACCTCCAATGATGTCTGACTGGGTACCTGTCGGTCCTGTGTGCCCCGTCCTAGAGGTTGGGGGATCGCCGTGTTTGTGTCTTGGTTCGCCAAGGCTGTGACCGGGGGTTGAAGTGGGTCTCCAGCCTCCAGAAGCTCCAGGGCCGAGTCGGTGAGGGCCGGTCCCACGGCTTGGGCATCCGCTATCCGCCTGTTTTGCGTGTTCTCCAGTGATTTGTCGTCAATCGGCTCCACACCCGCATGCAGGCCGGGGTCCTGGCTGCCGACCTCTCCCGTTTGAGCGTTGGATCCCGCTGATGGTTCGTCAATGGTGTCAGGGCGGCCCGCAGCTTCGGGGTCCGATGTTGCACCAGCCTGGGTACTAGCCACCTGCTCCGCGTCTACCTCGTGCTCCCGTTCTAATGTCTCACCGCCCTTCTCGTTGGCCACTTCAGCGCCGCCTTCACTGGAAAAGGCAGGCGTTGAAGGCTCCCGGGCTAGAATATCCATTGGTTCGCCTGCAACTCCCCGCGTGGTTCTGTTCAGCCCAGGAGATGACGGAACATCATCGCTGGGGGTCGCGGTTGTGTCTTGCAGTGTGGGCAGGGCCTCCTCACTGGGCTCGCCTGCAGGGTGCATCTGAGCTTGGCCATCAGAGTCGAGATCCTTCTCCGCCACAACTGTGGCTGTTTGTTGGTCGAGATCCTCGTCTAAACCTTGCGAGGTCGGGACATCGCCTGGACTGCCTGCTTCGGGCAACTCCCCTGCCCTCGACGCATCCTGAACCGGGCTTGGCTCGACTGCGGAAGATGCCTCAGATATGGAGTCGCTTTCGGTGTTGCTGGCCGTCACCAAGCCATTGTCGTCTTCATGAGGCATTTCAGGCTCAGGCTCAGGCTCAACAATGGTCGAGAAAGACTCCAGTTCAGGTGCCCAGGTCACGGATTTCCTCTTCTTCTTGCCCGCAGTTGTAGCAGTCGGCCACTCAGCCTCTGTTGACGTGTCTGCTTGCGGGAAGGGGATTTCGTCACTGCTAGGCTCTCCCGATGGAGAGGTCAAATAAGCGGACTGTTCTCTTGTATTCGCTACATCTGCCGGGTTTTCGAGGGTACTCTCCGGGTCCAGGGTGGAAGACTTCTTGCCCTTCTTCTTCTTCTTTCCCTTTTTGGTAACAGTTGGTCCTGGGTCTGCCTCCTCTGAAACCTTGCTGTCCGTAGCGAACTCTCCGCTCGCGGTGGGTTCTTGCGATGATTGCTCCATCTCCCCAATCTTGTCTGAAATAGTCGTGTTCGAGTTTCCAATGTCTGTGACTGTCTTGTCTGTGATCGACTCGTCCGTAACCGTCTCGTCCTTAGTATCCATCTTGTCCGAATCCTTGGTAGCGTCCTCAACAGCTGGCTCCAATGTGGTGGCGGCAGCGACAGCTGCTGCGGCGGCTGCAGCAGCCTTCTTGGCCTTTTTCTTGCTCTTCTTGGATGATGGTGCTTCGGGTTCAACTGGAGACTCCAGACCACGGTCCTGCTGGTCCTCGACGATGAGTTCTTGCGGTTTGGACTCAAGCGAGTCACGTTGGCTGTCAACAAGTGTCGGCTCCTGAGAAGCATTCTCGAAAACCTCGTCTGGGCTGATAGGAGTCGCAGGCCCTTGCAGAGGTGTGAGGAAGGCCTCATCCTGGCTTTCACTCATTGTTGGCGTCTGAGGTTCCACTTGAGTTGTCTCCTCTACAGCGAAATCTGTCGACTTGGCATCGATTTCCTGCGATTGACCGGCTTTCTGCACGTCGGTCGCAGAGGACTTCTCATCAATTGGCGGGTTGGATGAACTAATATCTGCGAGTTCGGCAGGGAGCTCTTCGTTGATGACTGCGGGCACATGGTCATTCTCTTCGGCTGCTTTCTTGTCCTTTTTCTTCTGCTTCTTTGACTTTTTAGAGGACTTGGAAGTCTCCTCGGCCGGAGCTGAATCTTGCTGTTGCTCAGAAGAAGGCAAAGAAGACGTGGAAGTCTCAAGAATATCCGCCATGGTTGGGGCCGTCTCCGCTAGTACGTCCGGCTTGGCCGTCTGAAGGTCGGCATCTTCTGGATGCTGTGCGTTCGCAGGAATGGGCTCAGAAGCGTCGGTATCGGTAACAGTTTTCTCACTGGACGGGTCTCCAGCGAGTGCGTCCGTAGTTGAAACCTTCGAGACGGGCACTTCTGCCGCCGCTGTCGAAGTCTCAACCTCCGGAGTCTCAGCGACCGGAGTCTCAGCAGCCGGAGTCTTGATAGAAGTCTCAACGGCAGGAATCTCAACGGAAGGAGTCTCAACAGAAGGAGCCTCAACAGAGGGGGCTTCAGTGGTAGGAGCGTTGACAAAGTACTCGGGAGCGGGGCTCTCGATACCCCAAGCATCGAACGCCGGTGTATCGATGACGGGACCTTCGCCAACAAGGACATCGGTAGCGGCAGTCTCGTTGACAGGGGCCCTGTTGATGGGAGCTTCAGTGGTAGGAGTCTGAACGCCGGGGGACTGGAGAGGTGTCGACTCAGACGACATCACGTCATCCAGCTGTGACAGCGAGGCACCCTTGCCCTTCTTCTTCTTTTTCTTCTTCTTGCCGGATGACTCAGCCTGAATGGGCTCAGCCGGTGGCGGCTCCATAAGACTAGGCTCAGAAGTTGCCATTGTGTTGTCAACAACAGCAGGCACGTTGTCAGAAGTTTCAGGCGCGAGAATGGAGGCTCTTTCGGAAACATCCTCCGGAAGAGGAATCGCAGCTGTATCCTTCTCAGCCGGAGCTGGGTCAGACACCTCGGTCTTTTCAGCAGTGTCTTCCGGAAGAGGCACTCCTGCAGCATCCGCCTCGGCAATCAATTGCTGGGGGGTCTGCTCAACGAAGTCGGCATCATCCCCTGGAAGAGGAATGGTGGTAGCATCTGGTTCAGTATCGGGTAAGACGGACCTCTCCTCCGATGCTTTTGCGATAGGTGTTTCAATTGTTGCATTATCGGCAGCAGGTTCTGCGGGGACAGCTTGAGAAGTGTCGTTATCGGTCGGTACCAAGTCCACTTCCGCAACAGAAGGCTGTGTGCTTGCAGCCATTTCGAGGGAAGAAGGCTTTGCTTCAGATTCAACCAAAGCTTCAGTGGTCTGGTCCTTCTTGGACTTCTTCTGCTTCTTCTTCTGCTTCTTGGACAAGGGAGCAGACTCGGCCCTAGCTAGGTCTTCTGCCTCACGCGATTCAACCGAGGTGTCATCGATGATTTGATCGGCGGCTGGTGGCAGTGAAACCTCGGTGCTCGTTGAAGCAAGGATGTCATCTTGGCCAGAGGCAGAAGGTTGCTGTTGCCACGGGTCCTCGTCTAGCTGCCAGGGATCGTCTTCAAGCGTGGCTGGGCTTTCCTCTTGTGCTAGAAGTACAGGCTGGGTTTCGTCAATGACCGCTACGTTGGTGTCGGCGGGCTTCTTGTCTTGGTCAACAGTTGCAATCTGCTGCTCAGCCAAGCTGTCAGCTGGGCTGAGTGACTTGTCCTTAGACTCGGAGAGGTACGGCAGTGATTCCGATGGTGTGTCGAGCTTTCCCTGGGGGTCACCGATATCGAGTTGTTGGTCATGGAGACTCTGCTGGATCTGACCGGACTTGGTTTCTGGCGCTTCGGAAACGGACTCTTGTTGCACGGGTGCAGCGTCATCAGCGGTGCCGAGCGGCATTGCTCCGATGTCCAGTTTAGGAGCGTCTTGTTGGGAAGAAATAGCTGAGGGCTCGGGGGCTGAAGTAGATAGAAGAGGTTCGTTTGTCGCATCCAGAGATTCCTTGCCCTTCTTCTTCTTCTTCTTTTTCCCCTTCTTAGTGTCGGAGGTTGAAGCCTCAGGAAATGCAGGTGAAGCAGGCAGGTCAGCCTCGACTTCCTCCTTGGAATTATTGACCTCAGGCAATGGCTCTTGTGCCGGATCTAGGACGGGGACAGGAACCGGTTCCTCCGTGACGGGGGTTGCCGGCTGCTTTTCACCTTCATCCATATCCTTGGCCTCATGAACATCAGCAGAGGGTGCCAGAGAAGGCTCGGGAGGGACTTCTGACGCCTCGGGAATCTCAATGGCTTCAGCCGCAGTAGCTTGAGCGGCAGCCTCGGCGGCAGCGGCCATCTCAACCAGTTTCTTCTTCCTCTGCTTCTTGCTCAAACCTGCAAGCGGATCTTCCTCCACCTTGAGTTGCTCTGGCTCTGTTTCAGGCTTCTCCTCCTCAGTGTCTGCGAGAGAAGTGGTTGCAGGCTCCTCAAGCTCGATGGGTTCCTTAGTTTGAGAGATGTTGGTTTCAGGAGTAGCAGTTGCTTCGGTGACTGGATCACTCTCTTCGATGGGCTGTGCGGGTGACGCGGCGGCAGGCTGTTCGACTTCCACCTCTCTGCTGACCTTAGCGGGCTCGGCAGCAGCAGAGGCAGCGATACCAGCGGCCTCAGCAGCATCGGCGGCCGCCTTCATCTCGGCCTTCTTCATTTTCTTCTGTTTGTTGCTGAGGCCAGCGAAGGGGTCCAAGTCAACCATTCGCATCTCTTCGACCACGGGTTTTTCCTCGATTTCGGGCTGCTCTTCAGGCTTGGGTCGTTCAGCCTCCAATTCGAGTGATTCGTTGACATGCTCATCAGGAAGTGGAACGACAGCGGCGGCAACTTCGGAGGCTGCAATAGTGGCAGCAGCCTCAGCAGCTTCGGCGGCCGCCTTCATCTCAGCCTTCTTCTTTTTCTTCTGTTTGTTGCTCAAGCCAGCAAAGGGATCCACCTCATCCATTGGCATCTCCTCGATCGCTGAGTTCTCCTCGGCCACTGGCTTCTTCTCGACCACTGGTTTGTCCTCAGCCACTGGTTTGTCCTCGACCTCGGGCAGCTCTTCAGGCTTAGGATGTTCAGCCTCCAACTCTAGAGACTCATTGACATGTTCGGGAAGTGGAACAGCGGCGGCGTCAATAGCAGTAGCCTCGGCAACATCGGTAGCAGCAGTTGCGGCCGCAGCCTCAGCAGCCTCGGCGGCCGCCTTCATCTCGGCTTTCTTTTTCTTCTTCTGCTTGTTGCTCAAGCCAGCAAAGGGATCAACCTCAACCTCAGGCTGCTCTTCAGGATCGGCCTGTTTGAATTCGGGGTTAAGCAACTCATTGACATGTTCTTGCTGTTCTTCAGGCTTGACCTCTTTAACCTCTAGTTCGAGCAGCTCGTCGACTTGCTCAGGTAGTGGAATGGCAGCAGCAAGCTCAGCATTAGAAGACTCCTTCTCCTTGGGGGCATCGACTGGCTCGACAGAAGCCTCCGGGTCAAGCGACTCGTTGACATGCTCAGGAGGTGAAACAGTGGCGGCGGCGACAGCAGCTGCCTCAGCAGCTGCCTTCATCTCGGCCTTCTTTTTCTTCTTCTGCTTGTTGCTCAGACCAGCAAACGGGTCCACCTCAACCACAGTCTGCTGTTCGGGTTGAGCCTGTTCAACCTCCGGTTCGAGCGACTCATCGATATGCTCAGGTAGGGGAACAGCAGTAGCAAGCTCGACATCGGAAGACTCCTGCTCCTTGGGAGCATTGACTGGTTCGAGGGCTTCTCTGGTCTCTCGAGAGGTCTCCGAGACAGGTCCCGAGATCTCAGGAAGAGGAACACCTGCAGCTGTTTCGGATTCCGTGGTGGTCTCCGTTGCCTTCTCGGCATCAATTGGCGGCTCCGAGACGGCTTCGGGAAGGGGGCCTGAAGAGACGGGAGGCTCCTTGGCTTCAAAAGAGTCAGTTTCGTTGGTGACGATGGCAGCGGCGCTAGCGGCGGCCGCGGCCGCGGCAGTAGCAGCTGCCATCGCTGCCGTCTTCTTTTTCTTCTGCTTCTTACTCAAGCCAGCAAAAGGATCCTCTTCACTTTTGGGCACCTCCTCGGCCTTTGCTTGCTCTTCGACCTTGACCGGCTCTTCAGACACCTCCTTGGTATTCGACTGAGACATGTCCTCAACCTTCTCAGAGAGCGGTTTGGCTGTAGTTTGCTCGATCTCGCGGGTCTCCGCAACTTGTTCAAGGATTGGCAGGGAAGTCGGCAGTGCCGCTACATCGAGAACGGTGTCAGGCTTGTGCTCGATTGAGGCCAAGGAGTCAAGAGGAGAATCAAAAGATTCGTCTGAAGCATCAGGTAAAGGGATCGCCGCCGCTTGTTCAACAGCGGGTAGGAAAGTTGACGGTGCCTCTGTTTCAATAGCAACCTCGAGCTTAGGCGTGGGCTCAACGTCAGCTAGTGACTCCAGAGGAGCTTCGAACACCTTATCCAAGACTTCAGGTAGCGGAATACCCGCAGCTCGCTCGGCTTCGGTCGTCTCCGCAGTCTGCTCAAATACAGGCGCGAGGGCGGGGAGCGGCGTTGTGTCTGCTTCGGAAGCAGCCTTGCTGTTCTGCTCAGTCGACTCGGCGGGTCGTTCGAGCTCCTGCATCTCGGCCTGAGCCTGCTCCCAAGCCTTCTTAATCTTGAGTTGCTTTTTTCTCTCCTTCTTGGAGAGCTTCTTCTCAGATACGTCGTCCTCGAGCAGAGGCTCGAATGTAAGGGTTTCGGGAGCGATATCTTCGACCAGAGCACTGCGATCCACAGGAACGTCCTCCTCCGCGACAGATTTGCCAGCGTGATCACTGCTATCAAGCACAGCTGGAAGGTCCTCGACTGCGTGGGGTGCCTGAACAATAGGCTCAACAGACCGAGTATCTTGGGTTGAAAGCAGTGCATCACCGGCGCGATGGATTGAGGGATCAAAATCGGGTGAGAGAAGCGTATGCTCATCGGCAGACGCAGCGGGAAGCGGTGGCAAGAGATTCAAACTAGTCTCATCGTTCGAGGAGACAGTGACTGAGGGAATCGCGGCGGAGGGTTCCACAGATCTGTCGACTGGCGCAGCGTCAACAGTGTCGCTAGTTGAGGCGTGGGCTGGCTCCTCGATTGGCATGGTGCGAGCCTGGTCGATTGATGGCAAGAAGTCCTTGTCGATAGAGTCAATTGCAAGGGGCTCCGCTGACACCAACGCCTCGTCGGCATCTGGCGTAAGAGCAGAAGAAGTAGGCTCATCTGGAGGGAGGGTAAAGCCATCGACTGACGCACTCTTGCCCTTCTTCTTCTTTTTCTTGTCTTTCTTGGACTTCTTGCCTTCAACCATGGGTGGTTCCGCTGGCTCGGGAGCACCCAAGGTCTTTACGTCTCGGCCAATCTCTGCCGACTTGTCGTGAGACTTGAGACGGTCTGCGAGATAGGCAGCCCCCAGACCAGCCGCGGCACCTCCCAGTAGAGCGCCAATAGCATCATCGCGGGAGTGGCCGTCGTGGTCAACCTCGGCCAAATTGGCGGCAATGTCGCGCGATCGGTTGAGTGTAGGGCTTGATGGTGTGTCTGATGTGTCACGATCCATTAGATTTTTGATGATTGATGGGGGCGTCATGTGTAGGAGATACGAACTTCTTTCTTTGGACGTGGTCTCTACTTGTTCCGGTTCGGGCATCTCAGTTGCGTGCGTCACGGGGCTGTCGGGTAGAGCAGGTAGCTGCTCTAGCTTAGACTCCGGGATATTCGAACGGTGAGTAGGACTGGCAATGGCCGTTGCCGGGGATGTCATAGGGCTAGCAGGAAGTGCGGGCAGCTTCTCTAGCTCATGCTCTGACAAGTCCAGCCCCCTGGCGGTATCTGCAGACGCGGGAAGACGAGGCGATGCCGCATCAAACATGGCACCAGCATGCTGGATTGCGTACTCTGCCTTCGGGGTGGTTTCCTGCGAGCTGAAGCGGCGCGTTGTGTGTTCAGGATAGCGTGACAAATCCGTGTCAAGACGAAGGTCAGGCTCAAAGGGCGATGCCTGAAGCTGATGGAAGTAATTCACATCCTCATCACGCAGGGTGAATTCTGGTGCAGGAGACTCCCGCGATGACGGTTCGCTCGGAGGCAGCTCCGGGAAATCAATGGGTGGCTCCATCGACTGAGCTGCGGATTCCTGACGAGCCTGTTCAAGCAGGTATAGGGGCTTGATCTCGCGACTGTTCTCCCAAGAGATGGGCCTCGAAGGGCGCCGAGACAGGGAAGCGGGGTGAGGAGGGGTGATGTGTGTGGTCTCGGGAAACGTGGGCACTGCTGGAGAGGTGACTGGCGAAACTCCAAAGGTACCGGGAGACGAAGGTGCCGACCTCTGCCCCAGTCGTAGCTTGAAGGGTACGGCTGTCTGACTTGGGCTTCTGGTCGGTGTCTCCATGTTGCTACGCTTGCGCGCGTGTGTCTTTGGCGTCTTAGTCTCGTGCTGACGCCTCCGCTCCTCCGGTGGCGTCTCCGGCCGGCTGTCGGGCAAGGCAGGTAGCTCATCCAAGTCTGCTTGGGTGGGAGAGCCAGGGGTGCTAGGCGGCATTGGGCTGGGTGGCAGGGGGAGGAAATCTCCGTACTGAGGGTCGATGGCAGGTCTAATAGTCCGCGGCACGATCTCAGGGTCGACGATTTCAAGGTCTCGCGGGGGACTGGCGGATCTCTCGCGATCTCGAGGAGCATCTGACGACTCTTCCAACTGCGGTTCGGTGGCGTTGGAGCGGGACATCATGGAGCCCAAAGCTGCCACGGCGCTCGCCAAGCCGGCACCCGCGCCAAGGGTGCCGGCATTATCTAAAAAAGACGACTTCTCGTCCTTGCTAGAAACATCCTTGCTGCTTCTGTTTCCAAACAGGTTGTTGAAGAAGCCGCTACTGCGTTTCTCGTCTTCCTTGGGACTCTTCTTGTCGTCTCGGCTGCGTCTCTTACGTTCGGAGCTTTCCGACACCACCGACTTGGCATCGTCGTCGTAACGAGTTCCGTTCGAGTGTCGGTCAGACTTCTCACGACGAGACGAACGATCAGAAACTACGGAAGCGGCGTCTCGGTCGTCCTCACGGCGACTCTTGGAACGGCGTTCTGACTTCTCGCTCCGTGTGGCGGGATCGGACACAACTGAACTAGCATCCCTATCATCGAAGCGACTGCTGCGGGACCGGCGATCGGATTTCTCACGCCGGCTTGAGGGGTCAGAGACCACCGAACTAGTGTCTGCGTCCTCGTATCGGCTGCTCCGGGATCGACGATCCGACTTGTCACGCCGGCTCGCAGGATCAGAGACAACTGAGCTCACGTCGCGGTCGTCAATCCGGCTACTCTTGGAACGGGGCTCGGACTTGTCTCGCCTGCTCGATGGATCAGATACGACAGAGCTCACATCTCGCTCTTCGAACTTGGAACGGTCCCGCTGAGACTTGGGCGGGAGATCGTCCCATTCTTCAAGATCGTCGCGAGTGCTGCTTCGTTCGACGGTTGGGGTCGCGGTGTAGTCGCTTTGCTTCTCGACGTCTGTCCATTCATCTGAGCTCTGCTTGGATTTCTTGGACTTCTTCTTCTTCGCAGGCTCATCCCATGCATCGTCGCCGGCCTCTCGGGGCTCGTCAGAGCGGTATGAATCCCTCTCAGGCAGTTTCTCGCGGGAAGTGCTCGGCTCGTTGTAAGAAGATGGCTCTTGGGTCTCTGGCTCATCATCGTCATATGTGACAATAATGTCAGATCTTGAGCTACGACTCTTCTTCTTCTTGTCCTTCTTGCTTGTTTTCGTCGATGTGGAGGCTTCAGGGTCTGTTGGGGCAGCTTCGGGTTCCACCGCTCTTGAGACGGGAGTCTCGTCACGAGGGTGTGTTGTCGCAGAAGAGGTGGGCAAATCCCAGGTGGGTGCGTCTTGGAATCCACGAGTCTTCGGGCCAAGCGCCACGACGGTTTCCGGGCTTTGAGGGGTGTCGTAATAGCTACTTGGCCTCTCATAAGAAGGGCCCGTCTCTGCGTAGGGAGCAGGGTGGTCTCGGTAAGCCACTGTAGGCTCGCCATAGTAGCTGTGAGGTCTGTCATAGGTGGGCATTGCTTGCGAGTATGAAGCTGGCGCAGGTTGAGGTGCAGGCTCGGCGACATCGTGGTAACTGTGAGGCCGGGCGTATGCATGATCCATTGGTGCAAATGGATTAGGCTCAGGCCGTGATGTGGCTTCGGGGACGTCATAATAGCCGCGTGGCCTTTCGTAGATAGGGGCCGGCACAGACGAAGGAGCAGATCCAGGCTGTGATCTTGACTCGGGGGCATCGTACGTCTCTTCAGGTAACGCGTTGTCGAGACTTTGCCTTTTTGATGCCTTTTGCTTGCGCTTCTCCTTCTTGCTCAGCTTCCTTGGCGGCTCAGCCTCTTCAACTAGCGGCTCCTGCTCGTTGAACGGCATCTCTTTAGCCTTGCCCTTGTCACGACGTGCCTCTGCACGAGGGGAGTCAGTCGCGTGGCCGTTGTGCATTTCCTTCTCTGCTACTGGCGTTTCTGGCACCTCGCCGATGACAAAGCCGCGGTCGCCTGCAGTGGGCCCATCGTGGACATGATCAGAACCATAAATTCCCAGGTCGGTGACAGTTTCTGCAAAAGGCTGCTGGTAGACAGCCGGCTCACTCTGTCCTGGTGGGCTGTCGCGACGCATGTAGGTAGGGTTATCGATCACAATGTTGGGGTCAAACCCAGTGTCTTGAAGACCAGCCGCCAGCACAGAGGCAAATTCCAGATCATCTGCAAAGGCGCCGGGCATTCTAGATGTCTGAGGGCTAGACGGCTTGGGACCGGGGGCGGGAGGCAAGTCTGCGTCATCTTCGAACGACGTGGTGAGCTTAGACGGGGCAGCTTCGATAATCGGCGATATGGGCTCGACGCTACGAGACTTTGGTGACTCTGGGGGACTGTGTCTCTCTCTGTCCTCTTCAGGCTTGCTCTCGAAAGGATCGCGCATCTTGGGGGCTTCGGAGACGGCAGCCGCTGCAGCTCCACCGGCAACGCCCGCCGCAATGATGCCCCACGGTGAACTCTTGCCCAATTTCTTCTTCTTTTTCTTCGACTTACTAGAGGTGGCGGACGGCTCCTTGATCGGAGGTTCTGGGCTCTCGATCTGGAAGCTCTTGGTCTCATTCTCGCCCCAAGTGACTGACTTGGCTGTGGGCGTTGTCGGCCTTTCCACAACCTCGCCTCTGGGTCCAAAAACGATTTCTGTGGCGGGCGTGGTCGCAGAAGAAGGTGGCTCAGCTGAAGTAACCGATCGTGTTTGAAGAGGCTCTTGACTTCTGCTAGAGGGTTGTTCTTCCGCTTGCTTCTCAGGGGCGGGCGTGTGGCGTGGGGTGACAACGGGTGTGGGTAAGACGAGGTTCAGCAGAGGTCGTTCACGCTCAGCAGAAGGATCGCGAGACTGGAAGATTGGCTGTGCGCCAGGATCGAGTTGACGGTGAGGCAAACGGAAGCGAGAAAGCTCGTCGGGAATGATGACATGATCGATGCGAACATCAGCGTTGGGCGCGTCATACGGGCTCTTGTCGTGAGGATGATCCATCTCGGGCGGCGTTACGATGGTGACGATATCAGGGCCCTCATCGTGGTCCTGCCACTTGCCAACGACAGACTCATCATGGGGAGACGCACTGCGCGAGCGGATCTCGTCCTTGGCGATCTTGCGGGCGATGACAGTCTCACGGTAGTACCGGTCGGCCTCTTCCTGTACGGCGTCCTTGGTAGCTCGGGATCTGTCGCGGGAGCCATCCTCGGTCACATGATCGTTGCGGTGCTTGCGCGATCTCTCCTCTTCGACAGCGATGGCAGAAGCAATGGCGGCCGCGGCTATAGGCACGGTAGCATGCTTGGCCTCATCGTAGATGGACTTTGCAGCATGCTGTTCCTCCTGAAGGGAGTCCCTCCGGCGGCGCGGCTCAGGGGTCCGGGAACGGTCTCGTGCACCTTGCTGATACTGCTCCAGACGCTTCTCGAGTTCAAAGGAGTCTTTGCGGCTCATTCGGGATTCGGAGTAGTCGGGCTTCCTCGGCGGGGAATCGTCAAAGTTGGGTTCGCGGTCGACGGTCACGACCTGGGGAGTCAGTGGCCTCTTCGGGGTGGCGTATTTTGGTGTTTGAAACGCATCATCAGCGACCTGGAACTGGAAAGGGTCAATAGGGGCTTGTGCATTGGGGGCCTCGGGATGCTCCACCCCATGTTTCTCTCGGGGTGCCTCAGTCGGCTTCTCTACCCGCTTCGCATCCCGGCGTTCATCCACGACCACCACCGGCTTACGGTCATCCCTACGAGGTTCCTTTGGTTCCTCACGTGGCCGGCGGTCATCTTTTGGGTCGTACTCAACTCGAATCTCGTCACCCTGGGGCAGCTTATACACCTCCGGGCGAGGGTCAGTCTCAACGTCGGGCTTCTTCAAGGCCTCATAGGCGGGATCAGAACGGCCAGAGCGGCGCTTGTCTCGGTCGTCGACGATCTCAACGTTGTTGCGTTGATGGGGCCGGCGCGGGTCGTTCTGATCACGAGGGTCGCGGTCTTCCAGCTCAATTCTTACTAGGCGTTCGGGTTCTTCCTCTATGCGGCGGCTTTGCCAGGAATCGCGGAAGTCGTCCCGATGATAGTCCCGTACTTCACTTCGACGATCATCTCGACGTTCGATGTACTCGCCCGAGTCCCTACGCTTAGCAGCCATGGTCGCACCAATAGCCGCGGCAGCAATGCCTACGCCGGCGATGGCATTCTCAGCAGCACTTCTTCCCTTGGGCGGCTGGCGGGGTTGTTTAGAGTTCCGGCGCTCCTCCTCCTCCTCGAATCTCTCTGCATCATAAACCTTGGGCGGGAGAGGGACAATGGGGATAGGCTGCTGGATAGGGACCGGGTCAGGCCGGGCACGCTGAGGGACATCCTGGCGGGATGAGGTTACAGAGCTACGGTCGTAGTCGAACTTGTCCGGATCTGAGGTCGGCACCGGGTATATACGCTGCATCGGCTGTTTTCCAGTCTTTGGCGATTCGACTTGCGCTACCGTCTCTTCGTGGTGGCGGCGGGAAGAGCCAGCGGACCGGGGATCTTCCTCACCGAAGCCGCATGGACTTTTTACGGCGCCGCGAAGAGAGTTTACAGGGCCGAAGAGGCGTGGGTCCACAATGGTACTCCTCCGTGAGGGTGGCTTAATCTGCTCCGGAGGCTCGGTCGAGATTCTCGCCGACTTGGACGGCTTGATGGAGGAGCCATACGCTAGGCCGTTGTCGGAATCATCCGTAGTAGTAGCCTCATCTTCGGACGCCGATTCCCAGTCATCGTCCGAGGAGGAAGCGTTTTCATTAGGTTTAGAAGTGCCAGATCCTCTGGTCTTGGTGTCGCTCTTACTCTTACTATGAAAATGGCTGAAGGCGGCGGCTGCGGCTGCGGCACCAGCCGCGGTACCGGCTAGCTGGGACGCCCGTGACTTGGAAGCAGACTTGAGATCATGCTCATTCTGCCTGCGCGCAATGTCTTGCAGTTGGCGTCCAATCTCTAGAATTTCCTCGTCGGTCTTATCACGAGGCATGGGGGGCCGCGGTTGTTGTTGGTGGGCGTCAGTCGGTTCGGCGCGGTACAACGAAGGACTCGCGTATCCCTGTGGCCTGGGGCTCGTAAGCTGACTCTTGTCGCGGTCAATGTAGCCGCGACCGTAAGCCATATCAGAGTTGACGGATGAGGAGGAAGAATTGCCAAATGAGAGAATGCGGGCTTTCTGCTTCTTCCTCCTGCGACGTTTGCGCTGCTCCGAGGGGGCTCTGAAGAAAGTATTAAAGATGCCGCCAAACTTGGGGCTCTTTGCTGAAATGTTGAGCATAGAAGAGGAGGTGGACGATGACGAGGAAGAGCTTGAGCCACCTCGCGGGCGCATCCTCTCGGGCTGGTGGTTCCCTTGGTACGTCTGGGGTTGGGCATGTCGTTCGGGTTCGCCATAGCCTAGAGGCTGAACGAAGGCCTCGGAAGGGGGATACTGGTGTTGCGACTGGTGGTGTTGGTGATGTTGGTACTGGTCGGGTTGGGGGTATCGTTGGGGCTCGCCATATCTCTGAGGATCGTGATATCTCTCAGAAGGTGCAGCATATCTCTCGGTTTCGGGGTATCTCTGAGATTCGGTATAGGATTGGGGGTATTGCGATTGCGACGGCGAATACACGGACGGCAGGGGCTGCTGCTGTGTTGGGGCCCGAGATGATGGACCAGGAATGCTCGATACGACGCTCTCGTCGGCAGCGCTGGCGAGTTGCTCGCGAGAATCACGGCGGTCTCTTCTTCGCCGCCGAGAGCTCTCTGGGCTCCGGCGACGCGGATCTCGCATCATGGTCGCGAAGGCGTATCGGAATCTGTCGTGCGCATCTGTCGCTCTTTCGTGGTTTGGGCGCGATTGAATGACGGAATGTTCGACGGCGTGGGGTGTCGAATTGTGTGGTGGTGGTGGTGGTGGTGGTGAATTAAAGATGAGGCTCTGTGCTTTGGAGTGCGCAGACAATAATCTGGCGATGTTATTGTTTTGTTTTTTGAGGAATAGGTAAGCGACTGGACGAAGCGGGACAGGCCGTGAAGCTATATCCCGGGGGTGTTCCCCCAAAAAACTGACTGAGCGGGGGGTGGTGGGAAGCCTTCAAAGTGTGGAAGGGGGGGAGACTTCCTTCCACGGGAGGCAAGGAGGGAAAGGGTGGCTGGGGACTGCACACACAATCTGGGACGATGGGCGCTGGGAAAGGGGACTGGGAGCTAGGCTCTTCCTGGTTCAGAGAGGCAGCTGGCAGCGCAGCATACTCCGTACGGACCGTACCCAAGGTGTAAGGTAAGGTAAGGAGGAACGATTTGAACGAATAGGTACATGGGGGAAGCTGGGCTCACCTCAGATGGCGGCGGGGTCGCCCAGCGGTCGCGGTCCACTAAGACGAGGTGAACAGGGTGAGGCGAGCTGCCTGTGAAATTGGCAATTGCTGCAATTGGGACGAAAAGGAACTCGACGGGCAGCAGCTACGGCCATCCCTGTAGCTTCCCTGGTCCGTTGTTTCCACCTCAGCTCCCATGGTCCAAGTGTCCGACCGGCCACCGCGGCACCCTGTCGAAATTGCCCGCGCTTACCTTGAGGTACCTATCTATGTGCGAATGCCTCATTATATGCTTACCTAATATTTCACACTCACATCGCATACGTAGTACTGCACTTTCTTCTCATCCATCATCCACTCTTACATAGCACATACTACATAGTCGGTATCCATACTACCTACCTTGTGCCATGCATTTTCTCGGCCATGGTTCAGCTCTTTTCTCGCTTCTGCAAGTCACTTTTGAGTCTGGAGCCTTGAGTCTTGAGGTCAGCGAATGCGCCCAATCCCACCATCCGCAACGTCCCATGTGGAGATCAGCCTGGCTGGCCTCCCCGCTCCAGCGCTCCCTCGCCAACACATCCTTACCGCCTCTTCCATGAGCCTTTCTTTTTCTTATCGACAAGACGTGTCGAAGCCGTCGCACAAAGATGCGATACGCTTCATCTCTTGATTCCCCATTGACTCACCAATGGCTTCTCTGATTCTCGTGGTCTGATCCACCCAGCTTGGGTTTTCCTACCTTTTCTCAAATACCTCAACACAGAGTAAACCACGGCGGCGAACAGGGATCTGCATCGTCTTCCTGCAGCCTACTGCAACCTGTCTAAACAGGTCACCTGCGGCAACACGTGTAACCACTCTCACTGTCACCCTCTGCTGTGCTGGGAGATTACCCATTGGGCGACCTCTCCAAAGCACCGCAGAGCGCCACAAAGTCACAGACTGAGAGAGATTCCCAACCCGGTTGTGATTGGGCCGCTGCCCGTAGGACACCGCGTGAGCCACAGTCGCAGACATCGGCAGATCGGGTATCGTGATGGCGCCAGAAAATCTTTGATCCTGAAGAGGGGCGAAATTCCCGTCTACGCCTGCATGGCGGCCTGAAGCAGGGCTTTGGCTGCTGTTGCTCCAAGTCGACTGGGTGCAACAGGTTTTGCAAGTCTTCACAACCTCTCGCCGGTGCAAGTCGGTTTTAAAGCTCCCAGCCAAAGATAGCTTCTTTCCACCGGATATCCACATTTACCGCGTTGTCCGTCGGTCCCACTCTCGCCGACTCCCCGAGGCCGCCGGCCCGGAGGACTAGTTTTACGGCCCTCTCGGCAACCATGGCGGCGACCATGGAAATCATGTGGGCCGCTTGCCAAAAGTGCTATGGAAGAAACACAATCGCATCGTCTATTCTAGCCGACTCCGAACATGTTCTAGGCCTGTCGGGGAATTAAAAACCCTGGGCAACGGCTTGGTTCCGATTCCATGTATTAATGGTCTGGCCAAACTAAACTGCGTCGGAACGATCCCGAACATGGGCTCTATCCAGATCTTTATGGCCATCAGCTCAACCTTCAACACCATGATAAAAGCGATTGGTCTTTTTTAGAAACTGTAGTCATGCTGTCATCACTCTTCTTTGTACCTACCTACATATTCACATTATTCAGATAATCCTCCATCACCAAAATGGTCGTGACGCAAATCCACAACCTTCTTGAACGCTTACGACAAGAACATCTCGTCGCCTCCGTACTCTTCGCCGTCGCAGCCACCACCGCACTTCTAATTACGGTACTACTCCAGTACTTCAAACCAGTCGGAAAACGCAGAGGAAAAGATGGAAGACGTCCCGTTCTACCACCAGGCCCCGAAGGCGTTCCCCTATTCGGGAACCTGCTGCAAGTCAATGCCAGCAAAGGAGACCCCTGCAACAGAGGCGTACGTATCCATCTCTTCATGTGTGAAGCTGTGCGTAAACATCAATCTAACGTCTGATTCAAAATACCAGCTCCTCTCCATGGCAAAATACGGAGAAATGACCACCCTCCACCTAGGCTCAAAGACCCTAGTCCTCCTCAACAGCAGCCGCGTCGTCAGCGAGATCATCGCCAAGCGAAGCAGCCAGACGAGCACCCGAACCCCCATGCCCATCTCCAACGACATCGTCGGCCGCAACCGCAAGTCCCTGATCATGTCCCAAAGGGACTGGGCCGAGCCCCGGCGTGTCATGCACTCCCTCCTCAGCGGCACCGCCCTCCGCCAGTATGGCGAGTTCCAGGAGCTCGAGAGCACCCAGATGATGGCCGAGTACGTCTTCAAGCCGGGCGCTTGGTACCGCCACCACTACCGCTACGCCAACTCGGTCATCCACCGCATCGCCCTCGGCGAGCGCCTCGTCAAGAGCGAGGAGGAGCTCGTCGACATGCAAAACGCAGTCACCTTCTTCGTCGGCTCCATCGGCAGCTCCATCATCGACTGGTTCCCCGACCTCGCAAAGCTCCCGCGCTTCCTCCAGCTCTGGCGCCCGCACTGGGAGGCCCTCGGCCAGTGGAACTACGACCTCTACGACCGCTGGTACAGCCCCATCGCCGCCAAGGTCGAGAACGGCACCGCGCCCCCGTCCTTTGTACGCGACACGCTGCTCCACCCGGACACAAAGTACAAGGGCGACCACGTCGACGGCATGTACGTCGCCATGCAGCTCATCGAGGCCGGCAGCGACACCACCCGCGAGGCCCTCAACATCATGACCATGGCGGCGCTCGAGTACCCGGCCGTCTTCCGCGCCGCGCGCGCCGAGGTCGACGCCCTCTGCGGCGTCGACGAGCAGGCCCGCCTGCCCACCCTCGCCGACATGGACGACCTGAAGTACATTTGCGCCATGGCCAAGGAGATCCTGCGCTGGCACGTCATCTTCCCGCTCACGCCGGACCACACGACGTCCGCGGACATGGAGTTTGAGGGGTACTACTTCCCCGCGGGCACCGGGTTCGCCATCAACGGCCCCGCCGTCGCCAACGAGTGCGAGGATCCGGACGAGTTTAAGCCCGAGAGGTGGCTGGACGGCCACGAGGCGGATATCGCGCACGGGTTGTGGGCTTTTGGCGGCGGGCGGAGGATATGTGTGGGATATCGCCTGGCTCAGCGCAGCATGTTTTTGAATATTGCCAGGTTGGTTCAGTGTGTCGACTACAAGCCTGTGAGTGGCTTCTCCTCCCCCTCTGTGTCCCTCCTTTTTTGGATGTGCAACATACTGACTGGTGACCTACGCCTAGAATGGACCGTACAACAGGAACATCCTGAACCTGGAGGCCACGGGCGAGCCCTTCCCCGTCAAGGTTGACATGAGGAATAAGCATTACGAGTCTCTCATCCTGCGGGAGGCTCAGGTTGCTGGTGTTTTGGAGGACGCCAAGCTGATGCGGGACTAAAGTACATGACTCTCGCCCCCTACCTTCTTATAGAAAACTCTTGATTCTGGCGTTTGAATCTCGTGTCTACATGTTCTGCGCGGTGTAAGGGTAGACTTTTAGTTGTGGTCTACATTATTGCATACAATATTAAGAAACCTCTGCTTCTTTAATTACCACTTTGATATTATAAACCTCTCTTTCTCCAAAATTGGACGCTCCGTTTTCTATCCAGAGCTCGAAGCCTCGTAACCCATCACCTCCCACCCGCGAAAGAAAGACATGGGATCAGGCTCAAGAAGCAGTGAGACATCGATATTTGCCGGGAGCGACCAGCTCTCCGCCAACCTCGCGCAATTCATCTCGGAGTCAATCTGCTGTCCCGATGGTTCCCTCGCTGTAGTAAAAAAACAAAACGACCCTGTCAGCTTTTTCTGCAAATGTCCATATGCCCAACTCGAGAAGGGCGGGGTTGAGAATTTGATTGTGCAAAACATACGCATGTTCTCACCTGCTTGTAACTGCGTGACAGCCCCGTCAATCTTGCGCAGTAGATCCAGCGACTTGCGAGCCGAGACGCTGAAGGCAGCGATGCCCAGCAGAATGCTCTGGCACTTCTCCCACGACGCGGACGTTGCCGCGTGGTCCAGCCCCGTCCAGAGGCGCGGACAGAGGCGGCAGACGATCAGGACTAAGCCGGCGGCACAGGCATCTGTTGAGTTCATGTGATCTCGCGTTAGCCTATCTTTTTTTGGCTTACTATACTGAACGAGGACCATCGCACTGGGAGGGATGAAAGAGAAGAAATAAAATAGGGAGAAGTATCTCACACAAGCTATTCCACCACCACGCCCCCGTCGTGTCCGTCTGATACGAGCCCTGCACCAGATCAATGAGCTGCATGGCCGCGTCCACACACACCCTAGCACACTCCGTCAGGAACGGGGCCCTGAGGCCCTTACCCTGCGACCTAGGCGGTGCTTCTGTTGACGGGCCACCGGTAGCATCCCGATGAGGTCGGGCGTATGCAGCCGAGAGATCTGTGAGGATCGGTCTGTGAAGCATGAGGCGGAGATACAAGAACCTATATGCCAAAAGAACATCCACACATTTAGTTCCCGGTCTCCCGTCTGATATCGATTATACATGAGGGGGGCATGTACCTTGCGTGCAGAACGTGCTTCTGCGTCGCGAGGATACGGAGGTCGTCTGGAGACGAGGCCCCGTCCAGCACAGAGGCATCAGACTCGGGTCCCCACGATAGGAGCGGCGGTACCGAGTCTTCAAAGTCGGTTAATTTGGAGTCGAGCTCAACAATGGCGTCAAAGCTCAGTCCTCCTACTCCTCCCCCTCCCCGCGTGCCGCAACTTGCTCTCTGGGTGGGATGACGGTTCCGCCACGGCTGGTAGACTTGTGAGAGGATGTTTCCGAGTATCAGGCTCAGCTTGAAGCTTTGGGTGATGAACTCTAGCTTGGGCTGCTCGAGACTCTGGTCTGCGCCTGAATAGGACCTGGGGAGTAGTCCATTTGCTGATAGATTGGACGTGACGGTGGGTCGACCGAACGTCATGCTCACGAGGCTGACAACATGTTAGCCGTTTCTACTTTTTTCCCCCTCACGGTCTCAAATGACACTGGCAACGTAGGTAGACAGAGGGAGAGAAGGGGAAACTCACGTATCGAGAACGACACAACCCTGCCACGTCCGCTGCCTAACATCCATCTCCAACGTAAACCCTTCCTCCTCCTCCTCCTCCTCCTCCTCCCCCGCCCCGCCGGCCCCCATATCCCGCGCCGCCACAACATCCATATGAAGCCCAAGCCCCTGCGCAATCCGACACGCGATCCCAACAGCATTCCAGCACCGATCAGGAAACGGCGTCCCCTGAAAGACCAGCCCGCACAGCAAAAGCGTCTGCACGACGCCGAGGTTGTTCTTCTCGAGCAGATCGACGCTGAGGCACTTGCGGCTCCGCAGCAGAAAGACCTCGATGCTCTTTGCCTTTTCCGCGCAGGTGAGGTCCGCAAAGTTGCAGGCGAGCGCAAAGATGGAGTTGAGGGCGCTGTGGAAGACGATCGTGGCGGCGTCCGCGCCGGGGGAGCAGCCCAGCCCTACGCCGCGGAAGTCCGTTTCTCCTGCTCCGGATGTGGCGGCTGCCGCTGTTGCGGCTGCTGAGGTTGTCGGTTGCCAGAGGGATTCGTAGGCTCTTTCGAAGGCCGGTCTGTGGAATACGGGATAGAGGTAGTGTACTCTCTGAAAGTACAGTTGAAGAAGGTAATCGGCGAACGGGCGAGGGGGTAAAAGGAACTTGTCAAAGTCGGCGTACAGAGAAGACGGCGTCGAGAAGGATGGCAAAGCCTGCTGGGTCCGAAATGGCGTGGACGACTGGACTCGTGCAGGGACCGACTTCATCGCGCTGTAGGCCTCCTTGAGGAACGCAACGGCCGAGGAGCTGCCGTAGAAGTCCGGCTCTGCCGGATTGTTGGGCGAGTCCTCCAGGTCATCCTCGGCGAGGATGGTGCCCATGGCCGTCACCCGCCTGGCCTCGCTGGAGCTGTCGACGCCAACAGATGAGTACGGCGATGGCAGCTGGGCTGCCGCCTCTGCTGCTTGGTCGTCGGATGTTTCCATGGTGGAGGCGTCTGGTACGGTAAAGTCCCGGTTTCCCCTAGCGGCGGATGAGATGTTGTCCGCAGCGGACCCATGGACGTCGTGCACAGTGGCTTCGAGGGTGTTGATGTCGATGCCGCGCAAGGTGCAAGCCTGTTCCAGCTTACGGATGCGCTCATGAAGCGTCTTGGTGTAGCTTTTCCGTGGGTGAGTGGAATGAAGGAAGAAATTATCAAAAGAATATCATATTGTGAGAAACTCACTCATCGCTACATGCCGTTCTAGCGTTGTTTACCGTGTAGACGCAATGCTCGAGGGCCAGTGATCGTCGTTGACACATTGAGCATATGGGCTTGCCGCCATCGCAGCGCGCCTTGCGCTCTCGGCATGGCTCACATGCCAGAGTAATTTTGCGACGACGCTGCCGTTCCTGTCGCCCAGGAGGCATCGCAAGGTGCCGTGTTCTGCCCTGACGGTCGAGTGCGCTAACGTTGAAGATATTGAAGTTTTGGTGAGAAGCATGCGCTCCTACGTTACCAAGTTGCTAATACCGAAATAATCTCATGGCGAGGTGAATTGTGATTGTCGAAACCTTTAGGACAGATCAACAGAAGTACTAACAAAGTACCAACACCAGGAATATAAGAACGCCACGGAGATGTCGGATGGAAGTGTTCATCACAGGGTACCATGGAATGTACAAGGCCCAAGTGAGTTTTGCGGGGTTTAACGGTTATTCCCTTGACGTGCAGATCGGGCCGTGAAGTTCCCCGGCGGAAGCGGGCCACCGGGACGAGTTGAAAGCCCACCGGGGACTTAGCACTTACGCTATGACTATCACCACCGCAATGATTGGTGCGTGTTTTCGCCGTTTCCCTCGACAAGGGTACAACTGCCGGACCAGTCAACTACTTGTATTGACGAAATACCTGGCATGCCCCAGATTTGGTCGTCAGGTCTTGGTGAGCTTATGTCGATGTTTATTTCGATGCGAATACTTATCTTGAGTATCGAAGCATATGGGTACAAATGGATAGACTATTCTATGTGCAACTCTCAGATACATTATTACAGAAAAACTGAAGACCCCGAGAACCATTTAGCCGCTGACAAGTCAAGGAAATACGTGATCATGGTAATAATGAATCTACTTGGGAATGGAGGAAAAAAGGGCATCAAAAGAAAGCCGAGCCTGGGCCACAGCCGCAATAAGTCCTGTCTTGTCAAATGTTCCCCAAGCCGCAAGACCAAGCAACGTAGTCAGGAGGAAAAGCAATCCGCGCGGCTGCCTCTTCTTGATCGACGAGACCGAACTCGATTGTCCCTGGTAACGCAAAGAGTCAAGTTAGCTTCGCCACTCATCCCAGAAAGTTCATCGTCTCTACTCACGCTGTACTCCCAGTCGGACCACACCGGAAACAGACAGCGATACCAAAAGTAGCCCTGTGAATAGGGGTAACTCATGGCGTTCCACGTCTTGGTGCCGTCAACTGATTTTTGAAAGTACCAGCTGCTGCACCCCGAGTTCCACACCCGGTGCTGCAGGGCGTCTTGGATGGTGTCGGTGTAGGCCTCCTCGGCCTCGCGTTTGATCACCGCGGTGCTCGCTCTGCCTTCCAGCGCGGGCTTGAAGACGCGCAGGGCGTAGTTGATGGAGTTTTCCAGAGCCATGATGGACGACGTGTGTCCCGTCGCAGCGTTGGGGCCTTTTAGGTGTTGGTTGGTCATGTTAGTAACAAAATCCCCATTTTCAGGATACATCTTTTACCCCTGGAGAACATACCCATAATCATGACAAAGTTGGGAAAGTTGTTCATCATCGAACAGTTGTACCCCTCGGGCCCTCCAAAGGACTTCCAATGGCTCGGTATCGTCTCGCCATCTCGCCCAATCACATTGACCCCGGCAACGAACTCGTTGGTGTGGTATCCGTTGGCCAGGATAATCACGTCGGCCTCAATAAGCCCCATTGCCGTCCTGACGCCCTCCGGCACAATCTCCAGCGCCTTCTCGTTCGTCAACGTCAAATTCTCGGCATGCAGGCTCTTCAAGTACCCGGAATCGAAGATGCGCCGCTTACACCCAATCTCGAACTCCGGGATCAGCAGGTCGTGGTACTTAGCCGGCGCCGTAGACCGCATATACTCCTCCGCAACCTTCTTCTGCCCAGCTCTATACCTGCTCGCCGCCTCCGTCAGAGGAAACCCCTGCAACGAGCTCTCCGCCGCGGCAAAGACGATGAAGCGCAGCAGGCGCGCCAGGCCAGGCACGGTCTTGAGCCCGGACCGAATCACGTCGGGCACCTTTCTATCAATGGGCGGAAAGATCCAGTGCTTCGACCGAACAATCTGCGTCAGCGACTTTGTCTTGTGGACGATGCTCGGGACGACCTGCGCGGCCGTACACCCGTTGCCAAAGAGCACGACCCTCTTGCCTTCGAGCTCGATCTCCGGACGCCACCGGCCCGTGTGCTCAATCATGCCCTTAAAGGTGTCCGCGCCGGGAACGTCAATGTCGTTGGGTGTGACGAGCGCGCCCGTACCGGCGAAGAGGAACTGGCACTCGTGGAAGAAGGTGGCGCCCGACTTGAGGTGGCGGGTCGAGAGGCGCCAGCGGGCGCGTTCCTCGATCCACTCGCAGCGCTCGACGAGCACGTCGAACGACATGTTGCGGACGAGGTTGTACTTGTGGGCCACGTTGTTGAGGTACTCCCAGATCTCAGAGTACGTCGGCAGGACTCGCGTCCAGTGCGGGTTGGGCTCGAAAGAGAAACTGTACAGGGCGCTGGGGACATCGCAGGCGCATCCTACGTAGCCAAGACACCAGATGATGTTAGCCCGTTATATACAATACCGCTTAAGAGTCCCTTAATAAGAACGGGATTTCCAGACATACCCGGGTATCGATTGATGAACCAAGTTCCACCTAGCTGGTTATGCCGTTCAAAGAACTTTACGTCTTCGATTCCGTACCATCGCTTCAGCGTTGCACCCAGGCCAATGGCTGCAAAGCCGGAGCCGATACAGGCGAATTGGCTGTAAGAGATATTCTCGGTCTCGCTGACGTCAATAATTTTCGCCATGTTGAGAATCGTCAAGGTTGAAAGAATGAAGTCGGTATCAGACGTTGATGAGAAGCAAGAATTCAGTCTCAAATATATTCTTAAGAGGGCATGTAAACCAGCTGCGCTGCGGAGGCGTGACCATCCCGTTGTTTTATTCTAGACACATCTTACACCTTGTCCTTCCACCAGCCGTTGTCCATCATTATTGTTGATGTGATGTGATCGGTCTCGGATGGTTTCCGTAAATGGACATCTGGGGAACGGCGGGCGCGTTCCTATTGGTCGGGACGATTCCGACTACAGACAAAGTCAGTCCCTCATCATCGTCTTTGTTCTTCGCACTTCCGAAGCTTATGATTCCGTCTTGGCAGCAAAGCAAGGGAGCTTATGGAGATGACGAGTCGTTACGTGCGTTCCTCGGCTTAGACGCGGTTCTTCACAGTAACGGCTCGGGATGGGTGCTCACCTCAAGGGCTGATTCCACGTCAACCCCGCGACTTGCACAGGTCTATTCAAGCCATGAGGGCCAGCATCTGCTCATCAGCTAAGTTGATTCGGTAGGGTGTTATAATTTGAGTAATATGTCCCTCCTGAGAATGAGACGAGACTGAATGGTCTCGTGGTTCTGTTCGACACGAAAGTCTGTGGGTGCAGCAACTACCAAGCCAATTCCTTGCGATATATAGATATTGGACTACATTCTAAACCAGAAAGATTAGCTAATAAACCTCACACCAACTACATATTCTAAAGGCTCTTGCGTATGTGGGAGAGCAAAGATCAGGAAAAGCACCACATCTTCCCGAGCGAGTATGCAAAATCCTCCTTTCTTTGAGAACCGACTCCGTCAGCATGTCAACTTCACCCCCCCTTTCCCACCCAAAATCTCCAACTTTCCGGTCTTGCTATCAACCTTTTGATACCCCTTAAAGTCAACCTTGAGCCCCGCGGTACTCTCCCTCGCAGTCCTCCAAAACCACTCGGGAGAACTCCTCTATTTCGCAAACATCCCCACCCAAACATTAGCAAACTGAGAAATTCTTTTTTTGGAGAAAAGGGTTGCGAAAGGATAAAAAAGGGGGGAAAAAGACTCACCAACATGGCAATGTACCGCATGATACCCGGCAGGTAAATAACCCTCCCGTATCCGCTATACAAGGCCTCCGTAAACGCCCCCGCAACGGCATCCGGCTCGAGCAACGGGAAGACAAAGGCAGACTGTCCCGTCTCGCCGCTGAACATGGCCGTCTTGATGAAGCTCAGGATACCCAGCGTCAGCCGGACTTTGGGCGCGTTGTGGATGTATTTCAGTTCTAGCTGAAGACTCTGTGTTTTCCCCCGACACTAGTCAGATACTTCTTTTTGAGCAATTCAAGCCCCGTCCGATATATACGGACTTAACAAAGGAAGAAAACATACCTCATGAAGAGCCGCCAACCCGGCCTTTGTCGCCGCATAATCCGCAATCTGCGCAGGCGGCATGACGGAACTCATCGAGCTCACATTCACAATGTGCCCGTGATTCTCCGTCACCATGTGCGGAAGAAACTCCTTGATGAGCAGAAAAGGCGCCAACAGGTTCGTGTTAATCGTCAGCTCCACGTCGGCATACGTCCCCTCCATGACGGTGGCGCCGCGTCCCAGCCCGGCATTATTGACCAGCACCGTCGGGTCCCCGACCTCGGCGCGGATGCGCTGGCAAAGCGAGCGGATGTATTCTTTATCGCTCAAGTCGCACTGGTAGTAGTGCAGATTCGTACCCGTCCCGGGTGCGGGTTGCCACGCCATGGGCACGTAGTCCACCACCACGATCGTCGTCGCCGGGTTCCTGGCGAGGAGATCCCGCACCACGCCCGCGCCGATGCCAATGGCGCCGCTGGCGCCCGTGACGACGACAATCTCTTTGGACCAGTCCCATGTCGAGTCCGTCGTCCAGTTGTTGGCGGTCCCGCGGGTGAGGTACTCGTGGAGCCGGAGGGCCGCGCCTGCGGCTGCGAGCACGCAGGAGGCGAGTTGGAGTTGGGCGAGAGTGAAAGGTATCTTGTACGCGGCGAGGGCGGCTTGGTCTAGGGATAGCGTTGCTGCTCCTGCTACCGCGGCCACGAGGGCCGGGTTGAGGATGGTCCCGCGAAGGAATACGGCGACGGTATCGATCGTAAAAGGCATAATCTCTGGTGGTGGGTGAGTGGGACTTGGGGGAAAATGAATTAGACAATTGATACACTTTGCAATAATTCTGGTCATCAATCTTGAGCGATATTGGGCCCCATATAGAGTGGGATGAAGACCAACATCTAAACAATAACCGTCTTTACAGACTCCGTGATCCCATCCTCTCCCCCAGACCGTTCGCCGATGGGTCCATCCCGGACCCCACACCGGGTTCGTTCCGAATGCAACCCCCGGTTCAGGTTTCTGGAGCTGTTCCGTATGACTCCAAAGTCCGTCCTCCACAAAAACCTGCCAAGAGAGAACAGCCGGAGGCGGGGAAAATAAATCTTGATTTCCCCATATTTTGGGACGGGTTTTATGTTCTCCATGTCGGCCCGCCGCGGAGTCCGTCAGTGCAACGACGTCCCGTTGACTACCTCGGCACGCACTTGCACCAACGTTTTGAAGCTACAACCTGCCTTATTTCAACTGTTCCCCAGAATACCTTAGCTCCCGTCTTTCGAGTCTTTTGGCAGCGAGCTCCTCTTTTCATGTCAGCAAGAAACTCGGCTCAGACCTCTCGGATCAGATCAGCAACTATGGCCCAAGCACAACCTGGTCTCCGACCTCTTGAGAAGTTGGGTCTCGTCTTTCATGTGCTCTGGGGTAGGTCCACAATTCAACAAGCTACGTGATGTAGAGCTCACCGAAGAGAACAGCTTTTCCTACCTTCTTCTCAATCGTAGCTCTCGGGCTACCGCACGCTATCCGCCGAGGCATCCCGTTGAGATTCTGGCTCCTGGCCGCAACCTACCGCATCGTTCTGGGCTGCTTCCAGCCACGTGAGATCCAATTCCTCGCCACTCCGACCCTGCAAGTTTACTCGGCCTGGCTCGCAAAGCAAGAAGCCAAAGAGTCCAAGAACGCCAACGCCGCCGCCCTCGGCCGACTGCACCAGGACGTCGAGCCCCTCGGCGCCGGGGCCGATACCAACCATGTCGCAGCCGGCGGCGGCAGCGGAAGCATCATGTGGCTCGGCAACCGCAAGAAAGCCTCCAAGTTCGTACTCTTCTTCCACGGCGGTGGATACGTCGCCCCGCTGGCCTCGGGCCACCTCACCTGGTGCTGGGAATGCTACGTCAACGGCAAGCCCGGCGATACCAACGGGGATGAGGTCGCCGTCGCGGTCCTGCAGTACACCCTCTGCCCGGGTGCCACTTACCCGACGCAGCTGCAGCAGGCCGTGGCGGCTGTCAATCACCTCCTGCGATCCGGCATCACGCCAGAGAACCTCATCATCGGCGGCGACTCGGCCGGTGGGAACCTCACAGCCCAGGTGCTCTGCCACCTCCTCCGTCCCCACCCCGACGTCGAGCCTGTTCGGCTCAGTGGCCCTCTTGCCGGCACGTTCTTGGTCTCACCATTCCTCTCGCTTCGGACCGATGCCGTTTCCTTTCGAAACAATCACCGCGTCGATATGCTCTCAGCGGCCATCGTCGCCAAGGGTGGCGACTACCTCTTTGCCGACGACCACACGGCGAAGCAAGCCACGAACCCGCACGAACCGCTGGCGCTAGATGGCGACATGGAGTGGTTCGGGGAGATTCACAACATCAGCAAGTCAGTATACGTGACGGCCGGCGCGCAGGAGGTGTTCTGTGACGATGCGCGGATCTTTGCGGAGGCAGTTAGGAGACGGAATCCCGGGTTGGACGTCCAGCTGGAGGTAGCGGCGACCGAGGTCCACGATGGAATTTTGATCGAATCCGAGTGCGAAGTGATCGGGGACGCGTCTCTGAAGATGAGGAGTTGGGCATCAAAGTGTCTTTCTTGATCTTCTGTCGATGAATGAATGCATATGATACCACCGCGCTTGATGACCCTTAGATGCTCATGTCTATCGTATCCATAGCTGAAAACCTCGCGGTAAGATAGCGCCCTGGTCGAGGATTCGATATTGGGCCAATTCCTTGGCCAGCCACCTGCAAGCACTCGCAAGCAAGGGCGCAATGTTCCCATCATATCAGACTCGGTTGAACTTTCTCACGACTCCAAGAAGCATTTGACGTGCAGCAGCACAATTTTGCCCTGTTGCGATGGGTCCATAAGTCCAGCCCCTCGATTCTGAATTGGCTATCTCCAAGAGGCAAGGATGTCTCGAACCGAGGTCACGATGCGCATACCGTAGGTAGTCGTGAGGGTACAGCCAGGGCCAAATACCCCAAATCCTGGATGCACCGCGTCAATTGCCGTCAACACTCGACCATGAAGGACCAAACCGAACAGGGTGAAACGATTCTAGACCACGAGACGGAATTCGAAATCTCGTCCAGTCGTGTCGCAATCAAAAAGGAGCCTCGCCGATTCGTCGCCCTACAAGATCTGCCTCCAAAGAAAAAGGCCAAGACTTTGGCACGTTCGTTCGGGGTACGGTAGCGGCGGCCCCCCTCATCTCCCCTCACCACTGGGGAGTTTTCATCATGTAAATATCGCGTAACCGTTTTCCCTTTTCTCAAAGAGCCGCGTGCCCAGCGCCAGCATGTCCAGCATGACACTGGCTTTTCATCTCGTTTCCCGTTCCCGCGGGTGCGGGAAGCCCAAAAAGACGAACCGAAACGAACCCCCGTTCCACAAAAGCCGAATTGAGGCTCTTTGGGGCTTGCTTTGACGACATGTTGTCTCTACCCAAGGCGGGAAGACGTCAACGGCTCCAACAAGGCCTCTGGTGTCTGGGTAGAGGGTATGTAGTTGTTTAAATCAACGTCGACAATGGAAGTTTTCTTGGAGGATGGCACTCACAAGGCACCTTCCAGATACCTTAGGTACCTTAAGTAAGCTTTACACAGTAAGGTAAGGTAGGTATCTGCAGGTGCTCCTATCTTATCGCAAATCAGACCGTTGCACCTGCCACACCACACCACACACCCAGAAGGCACGCCAACATGTCGTTGCGCCCGCAACGCCCGCCAAACCACCACGAAAACCCACCTCTTGCGGGCGCAAGATCCAAACTCCCGGGCCCTTGATGCGTTTCCCTCTGCCTCTGCCGCATCGCCATCGCGCAACGGGAAGGATCAACTCTTTTCTTTATCTAGGAGATTTTTATTTTAGACATGTATCTAGGTCCCCTAGGGGGATGAACCGCTTCCCGAGATCTGGGGAAAGGGAGAAAAAAGTCCCGTCGAGCGCCCGCTGGATCTTGGGGTGCAGCCAAAGCTTGGAGACAGCTTGAAGAGCCGCATCTTGAATATGACTTCATATTTCGACATCGCGACTACCTCTCTTGCTCTTGCCCCATACACTACGCTGCTCATTTGTCTGGTAGCAGGTGCGTATGGCCCGTTGGGTCCTGCCAAGACATTGAAAGTTGAACCCCCATGGCACGCACCTTCTTGCCTAACAATTTCCCACTTGGCGCCCTCCTTCCTCGCCCACCTTCTCCTCTGCTGCCTCTCCCCTCCTCTGTGTCTCTGTCTCTCCCACCTTTACCCGATATTCCTCACACGTCTCCCTCTTTTCCAATCTTTCAGCTCTCATGACCGCCATCTCTCTTCACTCCCACTTCTCCTATTCCTAGGCAAAGATAAGAGAGCCAAAGGAACCATCGGCATCAAGCAGCCTTCGTATCCATATCGATCCCCCCGTCTTCTCACTTCCGAATTTCCCCTTCACCCGCGCGCCCTTTCGTCAACCGACGCCTAATGCAAGCCGCCAAACCCCCATGATGCATGCTCGACTAAGGTATATCACACTAGCTCGCCCCGACGGCGTGAACGCTCCCAAAAAGTGGACATATTTTCCAAATGGGCAGACCATCTTTGGGGGTCGCGCCGCCGCTTCGCCCACTCAGCGTTCAATTCCTTATCTCTTGGACATTTGGCCGTGGGTGGGGTTCACTAAGGCGACAAGCCCCCCCGACGTCGGTAGCGTGGGCGAAAAAAAAGGGTGCGTCAACAGGGGCCTCAATGTCGATGGGGGGATCCTTGACAAGTTGACGATGCCGCCCCATCCAACGATCCCACCCCCCTCGAATTGAAGACCAGCGTGAAGCGTCAATTCCCGATCGCTTACACTAGGCTACAGTACGTACTCTTTTCTCCTTCCTCGACATGTCTTCATGATTAATGGCCTCGATTACCAACGGAAACGGTGTTGTCTACATCCGCTCGGAGATAGTCGCACCCTTCTTCAGAGCATTAGCATTAGAGCTGGCGCCGACGTCGGCTCGCCGGTACTGTGCCGCGGCGCTTGGTCTGTCAACTTTGGAAAGCAGAAACGAGAATCGTTATCCGAAGCAGAAAGATGTTCACAAGCAGAGGACACAGACATCCTGTTCGGTGTCCCGGGGCGCATCGTATGCAGAACATCATCCCACTCGGCGTATCATCCCAAGGACCCAAGTCGCGTACGAATACGTATGCATGCCGTTTGGGACGGCCGACAGAGGGCACTGCTTACTTTTGCGCGAGATGAACGTTCAATTTGGGCAGAGAGGTAGAGGACCAATTGGATCCGCGGTCTCCGAGCAAACTGGCCGAACCAATCTTAACCTTACCATGGTCGACCGGACGTGGTAGCCAAAACGGAACGAATAGATGAGCACCAAAGCAACCCAAGCAACGAATAACGTAGCTCGTCCGGGGAACTGCAGCCCAATCATCCGCCTAAGAAACACAGTACCTCGAGTCGCGTGTAGAAAGTCAAACCCAAAACTCAATCATCGAGACAAGAGTCGAGACGAGAGGGGAGACGCACTGCCGACTCGACAAGAGTGAGAGAGAGTGTCAGTAGTGAGACTGGATGTGAGTGAACAGGAAAACCCGGGCGACGACCTGATGTCTACTACAGTAGTCGGATTTGCCAACGAATCAAACATGCCAGAAGCAGAAATAGAGCTTGCGCCAAGGCTGATGGCCGTGTTTCGATCCTCTCCCCCTCACCCTCACCCCCATTTGCACAACCTTCCTGACATTCCACAAACTTGTGACACTTGACCGTAACTATCCAGCTCTGCCAAGCATGTACACTGAGAGAAGTGATGCGCTGTTTTTTCCCTTCCTTGTCTACTTGGTTTTCATTTCCGGTCGCACAGGAGGATGAGACATTCGGTAACACCGCATGCATCCTCGTCGTTGTACACCCCTCCATATGCACTCTCTGCACAACTCTCTCTCTCGATGCTTTCGTCCCCTCACACTGTCAAAGTTCTTCACCCGAACGAAATTGCACTTGAGCGTTTGAAAATAGATCAGAGTCGCTTTTATTTGGCGTCACATTACGGATATACCATGGGGTATTATACAACAACTAAAAAATATCTGCTCGCTTCGCATTTTGCGGGATATCCTTCCAACAGGGAAAACAGCTTTAGATCAATCCCATCCTGTAAATAACGCCTCGCTTTTGGAGCCCATGTGGCACCCAAAAATTCAAATCAAAGTGACCAACTCTTCCTCGTAGCCCGGACGTCCTTCACAGAGAAGGAGCCTTCTCGCTCCTGATCTCGCCTTGAGGCGTCACAGGCTTGGGCTCGTCTGATCCACTGCTGGCTCCGTTGTTGGCCATGTGCTGGTGCTCCTCAATTCCGTGCTGAGGAATGAACTTTCCCTCTCCGGCCGGCTCGGCCTGGTGGGGGGTCCATGCAAGGAAATCGCGGCGAACCTCAACGTAGTCGTACGAGAATTCACCGTGCTGGTCGTCGTCCATACCCAGGAGCTCGGCCTCCTCGGAAGCACGGAGCTTCAGGCCAGGAATCATGTCGATGGCCTTGGCCAGGATGGCAGACATGACGAAAGTGTAGGCGCAGCAGGCGACAATGTAGGCGATTTGGATGTACATGAGCTTGTAGTTGCCGTCAACCCAGCCGCCAGAGACTCCCATGTTGACACCGTCGAGGCCGATAATCGAGCTAGAGGCGAAGAAGGCGTTGAAGATGAGACCAACAATACCGCCGATACCGTGCTCGGCGAAAACATCGAGAGAGTCGTCGATCTTGAGGAGAAATTTGACTAAGGACGTTTGTGTTAGAAGTGATCCATTCGGACACGAGGGGAAAATAGCTTACTCTTGGTGCCGAAGTTGCAAGCAACACCAGCGACAACGCCAAGGATGATGGAAGCCCAAGGAGTGATGACACCGGAGGCAGGGGTAGCGGCAACGAGACCAGAAATGGTGCCGGAGCACCAGCCAACAAGAGACCACTTCTTGGCCAGACGGAAATCGAGAAGGCACCAGGTCATGGCGGCGAACATGGCGGTCAAGCAGGAGTTCCAGCAAGCCATGGCGGCACGAAGGTTGGCACCGAAAGCGGAACCACCGTTGAAGCCTAGCCAGCCGAACCAGAGAAGAATAGTGCCGAGAGTGATGAGGGAGATGTTGTGAGGACGGAAGTTGAGCATCATTCTCTCGTTGCGACGGCCAAGAACCCAAGAGTAGGCGAGAGCCGACATGCCGGAACCAATCTCGACGGGGCCGCCTCCGGCGTAGTCGAGAACACCGTACTTGAAGGCCCAGCCGTTGGCGTTCCAGGCCCAGCAGGCGACGGGAGCGTAGACGAGGGTGGCCCAGAAGAAGATGAAGACCATGCAGGGAATGACTCGGCCGCGCTCGGCGGTGGCACCAGCAGTGAGGGCGGCAGTAACGGCGCAGAACATCATCTGGTAGAAGGAGTAGAGAAGGGCGGGAACGAGAGGCGAGCCCTGGGAGGGAGTAGCGAGAACCTTCATGAGGCCGAAGTGTCGGAGATCACCAATGAAGCCGTTGGTGGCAGTTTCGCTGAAGGCAAGAGAGTAACCCCAGAAGTACCACTGGAAGACGATGACTGAAAAGCTCATC